ATAAGTCATTAAACATGAAAATAATGATTAATAATTATTATTTTATTCACTGATTTAAATAAATTTCTTGTTATCACCAGTGCCGGACTTAGAAAACTTGTCGCCCTAAGCCACTACAATGATGCCCCCCCCCCCCCCCCTAAGGCGAAGATTTTTATTCATACTAATGACTAAAGTATGTGAGTGAACGATAGGCCTGTGCGGTAAACCGGTATACCGGTTTTTTTTCGGTATTACTGGAAACCGGTTTCCGGTTATGTATTCCCGGTTTAAGGTTTTGTTTTTTTAACCGGTTTTATGTTTTAAACCGGTTTTTCAAGAAATACCGGTTTTATTTTCTAGACCGGTTTTTCAAGAAATACCGGTATTTTTTTTAATACCGAAAACCGGTTATGGATTTTTAATACCGCACAGGCCTAGTGAACGAGATAGTGATATCTGATATGAGGTTGTTTCTTTCACTCTCATGCATTTACGTTTTGACACCGACACTATGACGTTTTTATGCCAACATGGCGTAAAATGACTCTCTACCTTAATATAGAATATAACAAAAACACAAAAGAAGTTTATTAACCTATTAACTGCTGCCGTCCAGTTTAAAAAAGGCACTATCTACATATTTTATGAAGAATGAGTTCTTTATACCGTTGAATTCGTAATGAAAAGACGAATCTAATAGTCGTATTCGTAATTGAAAATTTTAATTAGATTAGAAGATCATTAGCGGTTAATTAAACTATCTACAGAGATTTTCGAGAAGTATTTTTTAAAGTGTTACTATCTGCAGTAGGAGACGACCTATCTACAAAATTTTCAGGATTTTCAACCCACTTGACCCCTGAAATCCTGATTCACGAGCACTATGTACATAGGTTAGTCAGTAAACTGGTCTCAAAAGTCACAAAAGTAGAGAACTATGTACATAGTGAAGTTTTTCGTACATATTTTTCTCGAACTTTGGTTAACTTTCCTCAAGAGAGAGAGAGCACTATCTACAAGTTTAATTATGCAAATAGAATAAAAATAATAAAATAATTTGCAAATAAAGCTTTTATTTTGTATTAACACATATATTTAATGCAAATTAAAAAACAATTTTAATTATTTTTTTTGTAAAGTTAAAATTTAATTTAATAAAAATTTAATGCAGAAGAAAAAACATATTTAAATGATTATGTAATTTCTTGATAAATTAATTATAATGATTACAAAAATAATATAATGATTTACAAAATTAAAAGTTTTTTTAATTATTGACAATATTTTTTAAGCATTAATATAATTAATTTATCAAGAAATTACATAATCATTTTAACCCGTTTTTACTCTCAAGTCACTTATTCTACTTTTGCTCCCATTATTATTATTATAAAGCATTTTTACTATCAGCCGCTCTTTTGTTCGTGATTTTTCATTTGGTATTTTTAAAATTAAAAAATATAATATAATAAATAAAATAAAATATAAAATAATAATAAAAATATAACAGAAAGAAAGGATTGTGTTAGAAAATAATGTAGATAGTGACGCTTTAAACAGGAAAGTGGACCGACAAAGCAATTTTAAACGTACTATCTACCACATAGTGCACTTTTCATGTATTCTCCATAATTTTCGGATAAAAAATGTACACTCTATCTAAAGTTTTATTAATAAATAATTAAAATTAATAATTATTTTTTGCACTAATATGAAAAGAGCGTGTCCAAATTAGTCAAGAACATAAGTTTGTTAACAAAATTTTTAATTTTATTAAGAGATCCAGATGCAAAAGCGTTTCCTTCAATATCTCCGATTGAGCTAAAATGTAGATAGTGTCTTTTTTAAAAAGGACGGCAGTAACTGTAATGTATGTATATCAAAATTTAAATTACTTCAAAAAAAGCCTCTCAACAAAAATTTGCCGCCCCCCACCATCTGCCGCCCTAGGCCCGGGCCTAGTCTGCCTAGTTCTAAATCCAGCACTGGTTATCACATGTCTTCACTTTCTGAAAAATGAAATCGAATCTAAAATAAAAAATTATATTTTTGTCAAAAAAAACAGAAAATAAGAAAAATAAAATTTTCTACTCATTTTCGCAAATTGTTTTCCATAAAACATTTTTTTCCACCAAATATTTATAATTTCGTCAAAGAAATACTTGAAAGAAAACAGAAAATCAGAAAAATAAAATTTTGTATTCATTTTTGCAAATTTTTCTTCTACAGAACATTTTTTTTAAATATTCGTATTTTTATGAAAGAAAAATACTAAAAACGAAACAAAGAATCTCAAAAAAATATTAGATGCGAGGAAGAAAAAATTTCTTTTTTTGCCAAATAAAAATGAATCACTCGAATCGGAAATATTTAATTTTACATTTCGATGCACATATGTATCTATTTTCGTCAAAAATTTTCTAGCAAATAGAGCTACTTTTATAATTAGAGCCTTACAAGTTTATGTGAAAGAAGATGAATTATGAGGAATTGTGTTTGCTTTACAATTTCCTTTAGAGCATTAGAAATTTACTCATCTTTTAAGTAAATATGCACGAATAAACTTTTGCGATTTCACAAAAAAAAATTTTTTTTGCATAAATAATTTAACTTTTTTGCAATTTTGAACTTTAAATTTATTATTCTAATTATTTCTATCTAATATTTATATTTTTTTAATAAATTGAGAATTTAAAAATTTTTTCATTCCAAAAAGAAATTAATTTCCAAAATAAATATTAAAGTCAGAAATATTCAAATCATAGAACAAATAAATAAATTAAGAAAATAATAATAAAGTAAAATAAATTATTCTGAAATAATAAAATAAAAATATTTCGCAAATATTGAAGAAATATTTTCAAAAATAATTTTTTTAATGTTAATTTTTCTGTTTATGTCCTTTATGTAAAAAAATTACAACCAGTGTCAATTAAAATTACAACTTTCGAACTCTTCAGATAATGTATGTATATTGTCATCTAGATTTGCCCCATTTTCTCAAGTGGTTTGCCTTAAGTTCACGTAATCAATTTCCGGATATTAAAACGAGTGACTCTTTTCTATTTGAATAACTCTCCAAGTATTCTTCATAACTTGAGAAATAGAAATTTTGCTTTAAAAAGACGCCAATTTTTTTTAAAGCACTTTTCTTTTTTTTTAAAAGTTACCTACTTAATTTTTAAGTAATTCTCAAAATTATTAGCATTTATTTTTTTTAATGTAATGAATCAATTTAAAAATGGGGCAAATCAATTAAGAAAAAAATTGGACAAGTGCGAGTTGTACTCGCACTGCAATGGCGGGATCCGTACACAAATATTAAAACAATACTTGCAACATTTATCGGTAATTGGTAGAATTAAAATAAACAATTAAAAAAATATATTAAAATCATTTAATAAAAAAGAATAACTAAAAAAAATTAAAGTATTGTATATCTAATATTGTAAACAATACTTTAATTTTGTTTAGTTATTCTTTTTTATTAAATGATTTTAATATATTTTTTTAATTGTTTATTTTAATTCTACCAATTACCGATAAATGTTGCAAGTATTGTTTTAATATTTGTGTACGGAACCCGCCATTTCAGTGCGAGTACAACTCGCACTTGTCCAATTTTTTTCTTAATTTTAGTTAAGAAATTAAAGTCAGAAAACAATCTCTCATTTATTCTCTTAAAATTTCACTCTTCCCTAAAATATTAAATGCCACGTGTTTAAACTAAAAAAAATTAAAAAAAGTTTTTTTTTTTTTTAAATTAAAAAAAAATTTTTTTTGATTTTTTTTCAAAAAGTTTTTTAAGTAAATTTTTTGTCGTCAGACTGTAATAATACACTAGGATACCAATTTTCAGCTCATTAGGTCAAATAATGTAAAAGTTAGGAAAAAAAATTTTTTTTTTAAATTTTTTAGTTTTTCCTTGACAACGCTATGGCCATCATTATATATTGAGTTCTCTATATGTTTCCTGTAATATTCGAGTAAAAATACACCAGCATGCAAAATTTCAGCTCTCCATGTCGAATAGTTTAGAAGTTAACCGGGGGGGGGGGGGGGGGGAATGGGCACTTTTTGTGCATTTTTGGCCAAAAATCTTGTTATTTCCCATCACGTCCAATCACATTCGCTATATTTTTCCTGTAATCTACGAGTGAAAATACATATCTGGACCAAATTTGAGCTCTTTAGGTCAAATAGTTTAGCCGATAGGGGGGGGACACGATTTGGCTACGGACACAAGAGTCTCACCAATAGGGTTCCGCCGATACACCGTAGGTGTACGGAACCCTAAAAATGAAAATTATTCTACATCAAGACAAAAATACGTTGGGAAAATTGTATAAAAAGTGAAGCTATGTATGTAATAAAAGAAAAATATTTAAAAATAAATAAGAAAAAATTATGTACTTTAAAATAAATTTTAAAAATTTTCAGTCTCAAATACAAATAAAATTGATCGCTTTATTTTTTCAAAGCAAATAATTCAATATTAATATATGACGACACTGAAGTTTTTTCTTGTAAATTTCCGTTATTAAAAAAAAAAATGTTTTTTCCACTAATCTGATTATAGACATATTCTATCAAAATATTATTTTTATAATATTATATTGTAATTCAAAGAAGATACGTATACGATTCTTTAAAAATACTTGGAAAAACATTAGAATTGTTTTTAGGAGGGGATTCATTTCATTTTTTTTTTGTATTGGCCTTTTTTTCCAAAAACTGTTATTTTATGAGACTCTCTCATATAGAATTTCTTAATCCTACTTTATCCTCTTTTTTTCAATTTCCCTACTCTTATTTTCTTTAATTAATTTCTCCATTTTTGTTTCTTTTTTCAAAAAAATTTTTCCTCTTTTTTCGTAAAGGGAAAAAATTTCCTTTTTGGTGTCGAATATTCAAAAGAATATGAATGCAATGTTTAAAAATTGAAGTGATATTCTTTCAGATCTAAATTAATGTTTTCTAGTAAATATTGAGTAAATTAGAATAATAATAATTCTTACCCATATTTTCATTTATCATTTTTTGTTTCTTTAAATTTCCCAAATTGGCAGTGAATCGGGGGCTATAGAGGAAGATGGAAAAACGGTGGCGACTATTTCCAAGAAGCGCGAGTTTCGGTATAATTACCGCAACTCTGTTTACATATTGGCTCAGTTACTACCGGCGTGGGTGTTAAGGCATATGTGTAAACAGCAATAAAACATGTAGTGCGGTCGTCGGATAGGTAACCTCCTCCTTGAATCCAAAAGCCAAACGGGAGTTTCTGAAAATTCATGGGCGGAGTCGATGGCAGCAGATACCCCTGAGATGTCAAATTAAAACACCCTTCATTAGTCGATTTTCGTTCATCACAACTTAAACTATCGACCAACTTTTTTCTCACACCATTTACACGATAACTGCTCCCTACAAAAAAGATCAATCAATTAGCCAATCAATTAGTTAAACAATTAGTCAAAATTAGTAAAAAAGAAATCAAATTATCGAAAATTTAAAAAAAAAAAAGAATTTTTCAAATAAAAATCATTTTAATATTTTTCATTCAAAAAATGTTCATTAGAAAAGTGTGTCTTCAGTTTATAGAGTGATAATGCTTTTTTTGGGAAAAGTACCCGAGTGATTTTCATTTTCCAAGGATATAAACATTGTTTCAAAGTAAGAAAAGATTATTTAAAATTTAAATTAAATTATTAGAATAGAATTATTTCACGGCGACATTGTCTTTGAGCAATTTTGATTTTTCAAGTTATACGCTATTTTTTATTTTTTATTTAGATTTTAAAATTCAATTTAATTAAATTACATTTAATTTGTATTTAAAATTTACTTTTTTTTTTTACTTAAAATACTTTTTAATTTTACTCAGAAATTTTCTACTTAAAATAATAATTTGTATTGATTAAAAAACGTAATTTATACTTCTTCATTTAAATTTGTCTTTTATGGAAAAGAATCGAAAGATAATAATTTATTTAAAATATAGAATATGGAGTTGAACGTAAAATTTAAGTTTTATAATAAAATATTAAAAAGTGAGAAAACAAAATTTTTAATTTTCATTTAATTTCCTGCTTTCCATTGTTATATATTTTCTATTACGAATAGTATACAATTTAATTTAAGATATTCAAATTTTTTCATTGTCAATATTGAAAAATAATGATGCAAAGAAACAGAAAATTTCACATTTAAAGAGTCAATAATCATTATTTACTTTATAAACGTTATATATATATATATATATATATATATATATATATATATCGAAAAGAAAGACAAAAACACCTCACAAAATGAGATTAACAAAATTTACGAATTTCGAATTAAATCAAGAAGATTTAATTCAAGAAAGAAAAAGTATAAAGTAAAAGTAAAGTAAATAAAAAGTAAGTACCAATTAAGGATTTCCAAATTCGAATAAACAATTTTTTTCTTTACTCAAAGACATTAAAAAGGAGGTGTGTCTCTTAACTGCAATTTGAATATATTTGAGCCACTCTCACGTCACACAGATTGTCTCTCTCGCTTGATAAGACAGTATTATTTAATTATTATTCATTTATAGTTTCAAATATTAACGAGGACAACAATATTGACGTAGAATCTTCCACCTGAAACTGAGAAAGATAAAAATACTGAATAAACATTTTGTTTCGCTTTAAAGAAAAGAGAGAGAGAGAGAGAGAAGATATCTAGATATCAAAAAACGAACAAAAGAATTCATTAGTTTTATACAAATAATTCATAATTAAGCAAACTTTGATATTACAAAAGAAAAATTACATAAAATATTAAATAAACATCAGTCACTTATGTGGAATAAAATTGAATATTACCCGAGATATAAATATTAATTCTCAGTTTTAGCTTTATGAAAATTAACGTAAGTTTCAATGTTGAAGAAAGGAAAGAAATTATTTTTACTCAAGTGTTGAAAATATTAATTTCTAAATAGATAATTGAATGAATTAATAATTAACGTACCAATTATCTTTGCAGGTGTGAGAAAATAAAATAAGGATCATGGAGAAAATAATTCCCACGCTGTGTCCATTGCCAAATTACTACAGTTTATCATTGACTCCAACACTCAGTCTCCAGTCACTGTCAAGTCCAATGGATTTATCTCATTACTGGTCCTTGCCACTCCACAGATTTAAAAGTCATCCACGTTGTGAAAAGCCGCCGTACTCTTATATCGCACTAATAGCAATGGCAATAAATTCATCGCCAAAACAGAGATTAACACTTTCCGGCATTTATCGATTTATCATGGACAAATTTCCCTATTATCGTGAGAATCGTCAAGGTTGGCAAAATTCAATTCGACATAATCTCAGTCTTAATGATTGTTTTGTGAAAATACCCCGCGACAAAACATGTCCCAGTGAAGATGAACAATTTGCCGGCAAGGGAAGTTACTGGACACTCGATCCATCGGCAAGTGAAATGTTTGAACATGGAAATTATCGTCGGCGACGAACGAGAAAGCAGAGGAACTTTGAGAAACTTCAAAATCAAACTTCATGTATACTTCCGGTTTGTAGTATTTCTTTATTTTATGTCAATTATTATTCTCTGACAACTGAAAAAAAGAAGAAAAAATGTAATTCTATTAAAAAATATTTATTACAGATTACGAGTCACATGCAAATACCTGGATTTTCAGAGAAAATAAATGAATACGAAAGATGTTTAAAGGAAAAAGAATCAACCTCCGTTCAAGTTCCAGAGCATCGCATTAAATCCTCCTTGTTTACGATCGACAATATTTTGAGAAAATCTCCAGTTTCCGGAAGCTAACCACTTTCATAACAAGATTCATAATATTTAAATACATTTTCTCTCATAAATTTTCTTTCAGTTATTTTGAATTGAATGTGATAAAAAATATACGTACGTGTAAATATATATGTATGCATGCAAGTGTGTGTGTGTGTGTGTGTGCGAAATTAAATTTGTCATTTTACCATAAAAAACAATTTTTGGATCGAGACAAAAATACCGGAACTTGCGTGTTTGTTTACTGTTTTTTAGGGACTTTAATGACTCCAAGACGTTAAAGTCACACATGTCGATTGTTTGTTTCTTCAAAAAGCGCAAATACGAAAGACTTCGTTTTCAAACAGAATTCAAACACACACATCATCCTTCTCAGAATTTCAATAAATCCGTACATTTCACTTTCACAAAAATATGCCGTTCCGAGGAAAAATTTCGGATATTGCGACGAATCACTTTTATCTCCTTTTCTTTGAAAATTGGAAAACGGATATGGAAATGAAGGGACAAATATATCTGAAATTATGATAAAACAAACAATTTATTACACAAAAATTAAACGAAAAATTGTGCGATTCTTTTTCATTGAAAGAAAAACAAATCTGACTCTGTAAATACCCTAAAATATATTAAAAATTGTAATTTATTATCAAAGTCATCAAATTCATATTTTTCGGACTTTGACTTACAAAATAGACACGATAATTTGTATAAAGATAATTTCTAAGTAATAATTAATTTAATAATAAAATACTGTTAACTTATTTCTAATAAATAATTATAATATTTAAATCAACAAATGTCACTTAATATTAGAAATTATTCCTATAGTCATTTCAGTTAAAACAACTGAAAATTTCAGATAAAAACATTCATTTTTTCGCAGAGAAAAAATTGGAATGCAGTATAGCATATCTATAGTTTTTCATATTTTTCATCCTTTGGATATATCTCGATAATGCTGTTTGGAATATTATTACTTTCTTCTTTTAAAGAAGTAAAAAAACAATTAAAATTTATATAAAATAAATTGCACACTAAATTGTAAAACTTGTAAACATTAGAATTGAAAATAAATTGAAAAATAATTGAAAAAAACCTAACCTTCAATTCAATGTATACGGATTTGTACAAAAACAGTTACGTTAAAAAAAAAGACTGACCATTAAAAAAAATCAGTTTCTTTTAGAGAAACTATTGTCATTGTTTCACTTGATTCGTCTAAGCGTTTGGATTTTTCTTCATCAGCTCCAAGTCGGCATCCATCATGTCCTTTACGAGATCTTTGAAAGAAACTGTTGGCTCCCAACCGAGTTGGCTTTTTGCTTTTGAAGCATCGCCCAGAAGCAAATCCTATAAGTTTGAATATACTAAGAGATTTGTGTACACTAAATGCGGAAACTTATTAAAACTTAATCAAAATGAAAAACTATATTTTCTTCAAAAGTCAGCAAGCCTGTGGCCCCTGTGGCAGAGTGAACACAAAATGGCGGCCACTGCCCTATGAACCGGGCTTAACTTTAACAGCGTAACCGCAGTTTTTTAATTTAAATTTAAAACTATAATTGAAAAGAAAATTAAAAAGTGTAAACAAATTGTAAAATTATTAAGCAATTAAAATAGATTTAGAAAAATGTTTTTCCAAATGTTAACAAAAATAACTATTGAAACTATTTATCTAAACACAGGGCTGACAGGGCTCGAACTGGGTCCGTAAAGGGAGCGTTCACAAATGATGTCACGCAATTTTTCGGGATTTTAGACCCCCCCCCCCCCCTGTCGCGCAATTTCATGCAATTTCACATGTAAAAATACATTGTAACGTAATTTTACTAAAGAAAGATGAAAAGTTCGTAAATTGTACGAAATAATTTGGAGAATTTTACAGAAATTACAAATTATTGCGGAAATTCAATTATGTTCAAACATTTTTAAAAATACTCGTAAAACATTTAAATTTTACTTTAGAGAAATAATGGAATTTTTCTCTAAAATTCAATTAATTTAAAATTTTTTTCTGAATTCAATGATTTTAAATATCTATTATTTTAATAAAATTTTCCAAAAGAATTCAATAATTTAAAAAAAATTTAATAAAATTCTACGAAAACCTTTAATTATTTTCATAAAATAATAAAAATTTCACAGGAATTAAATTATTTACAAATTTTTTATAAATTTCTTCGCAATCATTCAACTATTTTCATAAAAATAATAAAATTTTTACAGGGATTCAATTATTTTCGTAAATAATAAAATTCTTTTTAGGAATTCAATTATATAATAATAATAATTATTCTTAAAAATTTTACTAAAACTCGTCAAAAGAATTCAATTATTTAAAAATTTATTGATAAAATTCTTTATGAGAATTCAATTTTAAGAAACATGCAATAATTATTCAATAAATTGTTTTTTTATATTTAAATAATTGAATTCTTGTAGAATTTTCTCATAAAAATTGATTTAAAAATGGATTTCATTAAAAATTTTAGATTTCAATTAAATACTAAAAGCAATAGAGCGAGAATTTTTAGAAATAATTGAATTTTGAAAAGGTTTCAAATTAAAATCTTTGAAAATCTAAATTTTTCATATTTTTAACTAACAATTATGTGGAATTAGTTTTTTTGACAATGTTTAATTGTGGATTATTTTTTTGAAATTATTTGAAGATTTTTTTTGTTAAAAATATATATTTAATTGAAAAATTTCCGAATAATTAAATTTTGTAAAATTGAATATTAAACAAATGAATTTGAAAATTCTCAAAGAACTTTTTCAAAAATTATTATTATCCAATAATGGATTTATAGAAGAATTTTTGGTTAATAGCACTAAAAAAATTTAATTTTTGAAAAGTTACAAATTATTGCAGAAATTCAATTATTTTCAAGAGTAAAAATATTCTTCGCAAAAATTAAATATTGTTCAAACATAATAAAATTCTTCTCAGGGATTCAACTATTTTCACAAATAATGAAACTCATCACAGAGTTTCAATTATTTTTAATACAATTTTAATTGAATTTCTCGAAAAATGGACCTAATTATTCTTAAAAATTTTATTAAAATTCGTCAAAAGAATTCAATAGTTTAAAAATTTGTTGATAACATTTTTTAAGAGAATTGAATTTTAAGAAACATTTAATTGTTCGAACATTATTTATTTTTGTATTTAAATAATTAAATTCTCGTAGAATTTTCTAATAAAAATTTATATAAAAATGAATTTCAGTTAAAATTTTAGATAATTGAATATGCAAAGCAATATAGCGTGAACTTTTAGAAATAATTGAATTTTGAAATTAATTTTTTTTATATTATTTTAAGTTTTATTTTCTAATATTTATTTAATTGAAGAATTTACGAATAATTGAAATTTCGTAAAATTGAATATTGTAAACAATATTTGAAAATTGATTTGAAAATTGTCAATGAACTTTTTCGAAAATTATTAAAAATAATCGATTAAAGGAAGAATTTTAGTTCTAAATTCTTGAAAATAATAATTGAATTGATGATTTTATCACTCGGTCTATTATATAAAACATGAAGAAATCGATCATTCCGAGTCGAAGACTCGGAGTTATCGATATCTTCATGTTTTATTATAGTTAATAATAGTTATGAAAAATTGAATTTATAGTGTGAAGTAAAATGATCTCTTGTTTGACTCGGACCGTATTTTTAAATACCTTCACTGGTTCGAGCTCTGTAAACACTATTTTTTATGTGTCGCTTCACGAAGAAAGTTAATTTACGTGGAAAAAATGTTAGATTACTGTTAATTTTAAAGGTTTTAAAATTATAAGGGAATAAATATTAATCGAAAAATGTAATAAAAACATTTTTGCAATTACTTTTATATTATTTTTGTAATCAACGAAAAAATATCTAAACTAATAAATTTCAAATCAAGAAACAATTTAATTGATTTTTCCTTTTTTTAAGAATGAAAAATTAGAAAAAGAATTAGAAAAATAATTCAGGGTTGCCACAAATATTTAAATTTATTTTTCCCTGACTTTTCCCTGATTTCCAGACAAAATTCTCACTTTTTCCCTGACCCTAAAAAATATTCTGATTCACTCTGAAAATTATTAGATACTCGAAAAAATGTTCTATTACATTTATTTACAAATTTCATTAATTGTAAAATTATTCAAAAACATCAATAATTAATATTTAATCATTATTATTTTTCCGTAGGAATTAAAATTCTTCAATACATTCAAATTTAAACCTTTTTAAAATTCAACAATTTATAAGAATATTATTACGAAACATAAAGAAGGCGATCACTCCGAGTCGAAGACTCGGAGTGATCGCCTTCTTTATGTTTTGTTATAATTTAAATAACCATGAAATTTTTCAAAAAAAATTAATTATTTACAAAAATCCTAATAAAATCCTTCGCAAGAATTCAATTATTTTTAAAAGTAGTAAATTTTCTCAAAAAAATTCAATTTTTTAAAAAAATTGTAATAAAATTCGTTGCAATAATTCAATTATTTTCATAAATAATAAATCGATTATTCGGTAATTGATTTTTCAGTCAATTTTTAAATAATTCAATAATTTTGACAAATTTTAATGAAATTTTTAAGAATAATTACATTTTTCGAAGAATTTGATTAAAATATTGTATCAAAAATTAATTAATATCCTGCGATGAGTTTCATTATTTATGAAAATAATTAAAAATCTTCCCAAAAATGTTATTAAATTTTTTCTAAAATAATTGAATTTCGGTGAAGAATTTTATTATTTATAAAAATTTTATAAATTATTGAATTCCTGTGAAATTTTAATAAGAATTCTATTCAAGTTTTTAAAAATAATAGAATTTTGAAGAAGATTTTTATTTTTTATATTCGATAACAATAATTGAAATTTTGACGAGAATTTAAAAAAAATTTTTTTAATAATTGAATATTGAAGAATTTTATTATTTATAAAGATAATTGAAATTTTGACCAGAATTTTTTACTTCTAAAAATAATTTAATTCTTCCAACGAATTTTATTTAAGTTTATAAAAATAATTAAATTTCGGTGAAGAATTTTACTATTTCTAAAAATAATTGAATTCTTGAAAAAAAAACATTGTTAAATTTTTTTTAAATAATAATTGAATTCTTGCGATGAATTTTATAAAATTCTTTTTAAATAATTGATATTTTTTGACAAATTTTTTGAAATTTTTTATATCAAATAATTGAATTCCTGTGAAAAGGAGGAGGGTCTATAAGACCTATTTTCGGCCTACTTCAAATTTTTATTTAAAAGCTTGAAATAAATTTTCCGCCAAAGAAAAATGATAATTATAATGATTGAAGGTTAAATGAGGGTGTTTGGAGAATATTAACCCTTAAATAATAAGGGTTTTCGAATAAAAAATGGGTAAAAAATAAGGGTAAAAAAATTTTCAATTATGAATTAATTGGCTCGAAACTTGTTACTCAGGGGTTTTTGGGGTCGCTGATTACGAATCTGGTGTTAGTTTTTCAAAATTCAAAATGGCGGATCCAATATGGCGCACGACTTTTTTAAAACATGAATTAATTCGCTTGAAAATCATTACTCGGGGGTTTTTAGGGTCGCTGATTACGAATATGATGTTAGTTTTTCAAAATTCAAAATGGTGTACGACTTTTTTAAAAAATGAATTAATTGTCATGAAAATTGTCACTCGGGGGTTTTTGGGTCCTGGATTACGAATCTGATGTTAGTATTTCAAAATTAACATCATATTCGTAATCAGCGACCCTAAAAACCCCCGAGTAATGATTTTCAAGCGAATTAATTCATATTTTAAAAAAGTCATCCGCCATATTGAATCCGCCATTTTGAATTTTGGAAAACTAATACCAGATTCGTAATCAGCGACCCCAAAAACCCCTGAGTAACGAGTTTCAAGCCAATTAATTCATAATTGAAAATTTTTTTACCCTTATTTATACCCATTTTTTATTCGAAAACCCTTATTATTTAGGGGTTAATATTCTCCAAATACCCTCATTTAACCTTCAATCATCATAATTATCATTTTTCTTTGGCGGAAAATTTATTTCAAGCTTTTAAATAAAAATTTGAAGTGGGCCGAAAATAGGCCTTATAGACCCTCCTCCTTTTATTATTTATGAAAATAATTGATTTATTTCGAAGAAATTTATTAAAAATTTTGTAAATTATTGAATTCCTGTGAAATTTTGCCAAGAATTTTATTAAAGTTTTTAAAAATAATTAAATTTCGAAAAAGAATTGTATTATTTATAAAGATAATTGAAATTTTGACGAGAATTTTTAAAAAATTTTTGAACATAATTGAATTTTGCAGAAGAATTTTATCATTTTTAAAGATATAATTGAAATGACCAGAATTTTTTTTAATTTTTGAACATAATTGAAATATTACGAAGAATTTTTATAACTTTTGAAAATAATTGAATTTCTGGAATTATTTTTAACTTTTCCAAAATTCAATGTTTTTTTAGTATTTTTAACTAAAATTTTTTATCAATCTAGTATTTATGAAAATTGTAAAAATTATTCATTAAATAATTTCTAAGTAATAATTTTATGATAGTTCTTGTAAAATTAAGTAATTTAAGAAGAAATTATTGTCTGAAATAGAAAAAATTCAAGGTTTCGTATTAAAATTCGTGATAGTTTCATAGTTTACGAGGCAAAAAAAAATCAAAATTCAGTTTTTTCATGAATTTTTAAAATTCAATTTTTTCCAGTACTTTTACTAAAAATCCCTGACTTTTCCCTGATTTCCCTGACTTCCCTGACCTGTGGCAACCCTGTTAATTAAAAATTGTTTTAAAATTATTTCTTTGTGCTGGTAATAGAAGGGGAAAAAATTGATAAATACCACTTCAGTTGGACGAAAATGTTTCGGATCGACTCGTACCAAAACATCTCCAGTTTTCACGTCTATTCCAACTTCATTCAAACCTTGGCCCTCCCATTTTATTGTCCGTCCGACGTATTCAAATGCAGCTTCGACAAATTCTTTCACACTATGTGTCTCACCTGTTGCGATAACGAAATCTTCAGGAACTGATTGTTGAAGCATGAGCCACATAGCCTGCAAAATAAAAAAAAAATGTTAAACAATTTCTCTGAATTAATATTATTATATCACTGATAAATTAATGTTTAGACAAAAAAATTTTTGTTTACCTTCACGTAATCTTTGGCGTGACCCCAATCTCGTTTCGAGTCTAAATTTCCCAGCACCAATGCATCTTGCAATCCAAGTTGAATTTTTGCAATGGATCTCGTAATTTTTCGAGTAACAAAATTTTCTCCTCTCCGTGGACTTTCATGATTAAAGAGAATTCCATTGCAGGCAAAAATATTGTAAGCTTCTCTATAATTTACAACTATCCAATAACTGTACAATTTAGCACAGGCTGTGAAAAGAGTTAATTAATTAAATTTCAGATAGTCGACTAAATTATTATTAAATTGAAATATAGCAAAAAAAAACCTTCTTTCTTCTTAAATTATTCGGTATTAAATTGAAACATTGCAAGAAAAAACCTTTTTTCTTCCTATGAGAAAGTAAAAGATATAAAAAAATATCTACCGTAAGGAGAACGAGGATAAAAAGGTGTATTTTCATTTTGTGGCACTTCTGCAACTTTTCCATAAAGTTCAGATGTCGATGCTTGATAAAATTTTATTGATTTTTCCAAGCCACATGTTTTAATTGCGTCCAATATTCTCACTGTTCCAACAGCGTCAACCTCAGCAGTATATTCACTTAAATCAAAGCTTACCTGCAAATAAAAGAAAAATTTATTTCAAAATATTCCAAAATGAAAACAAACAATAAAACAAAATGTCAAAATTAACACATTTCAGAAAAGAAAATAATAAAATTTTCCTCTTTTTTCGTTCTCTTAATAGAAAATTTTAATTCAAATTATTTGAGAAAAAAAAAATATTTTGTCCAACCTTAACGTGACTTTGAGCTGCAAGATTGTAAATCTCAGTCGGATGAATCAAGGAAATGAGTTTAACTAGACAACTGGAATCCGTCATGTCTCCGTAATGTAATTTCATTTTTTCTTGTCGATGACATTTGGGATCTGCGTACAAATGTTGAATTCGTGTTGTATTAAAAGAACTCGATCTTCTAATCATTCCATGTACTTCATATCCTTTCTCGATCAGAAATTCAGCCAAGTAAGAACCGTCCTAGAATGTTCATTTTTGAAATTTGAATATTCATATTTTATATCTTAATCATCGTAATTAATATTAATATTTATTATTATGTACTATTAATGATAATAATAAAAAATATAAAGTTTTTAGCATACAAAGAACATATTTATGTATTTCACTTACAAAGTTTACGTTTTCTAAATGTCTATAAAATTTCGAAGTGTCTATTCCGTCAGCGGGCCAAATAAGTTACTTTTTTTTATTTGACCCGTCACCCCACTTCCATACATTTTAAGACGGGCCAAATAAAAAGTAGTTTATTTGGCCCGTCAGATAACAAATTAGCTGTAATTAATAACAATAGATTATTATTATTATTATTATTATTATTATTATTATTATTATTATTATTATTATTATTATTATTATTATTATTATTATTATTATTATTACAAATAGATTAATTTAATTATTATTAAAAGTATTATTTACGTGAATTTTACAGGTAATGTATATTATTAATATTAATTAAATCTTAAATTTTATTTTTAAAATCTGAACTTTTACTTTTTGATTTAAATGGACTGAAAACATTAATTAATATACTGTCACAGGCTTCTCACTCATCTACTAAAATCTACTATTTACTACTTTTTATACGATTTGCTACTAATTGGATACTTTTTTTTAGATTTGTGACACTAAAAGCTACTTATTCTCTTTTTTTTAAATTTGCACTACTTTAACTTCGCTGATTGTTAAAATAAGAAAATTATTCTTAAAAATTTTAATAAAATTCTTTTAAACGATAGAATTATTTTCAAAAATTTTTAACGAATTTTTCACAAAAGATCAATTATTTTTACAAATAATCAAATTCTCTTAAATTCAATTACTATAAATATCTACTATTTTATTATAATTCAGGCCTGGGGTCGACTTTAATACACAATAGTCGATTAAAAATACAAAAAAGTCGGAATAAAGTCGTTTAACAAACATTTTATTTTGTAACTGTAATTATTGACCATGTTTTTTTAAACGTTATTAAGGTATAATATTTTAAAAAAATTATAATAAAGAAACTCTTAAAATTAATTTTTAAAAAATATTTTTAAATAATTTTTTAAAGATAATAGATATAGTTTTTCAATTATATATACCTACAATATACAATTACAAAATTTCCAAACAATTGAATTCTAGTAAAATCTTTTAAAAAAACCGCTGCCAAGTAGTATATTTTTTTATAATTTTGGTGCTCATTTCATGAACACTTTACTTCCTCACGGAGATAAAAATAATAGAAATATATGAATAACTTTTTATAAATATGGTAAAAGTGATTGAATTTTGAGTCAATCAATGTATTTTTAAATACCCTACAAGATAGTTACAATAATTTAATAGTTAAACAAAAATTTTCAAACAAAAAAGTTGAGAAAATGTCATTTTTCACAATTTTTGGTTTTTAAAATACCAATAATTTCGAAATTTATTATCGAATTAGGTTCAAAAATAGGTCAATCGAAGCGTTTTTTAATGCTCTACAAGTTGATAACGATAATTTTAAAGTTACTTCTACTTTTTTCAACAAAATTTTCAAAAAAGTCTTATTTTCCAAAATTTTTTATTTTTAAAAGTTTAATAACTTTGATTAATATGGACGAAAAATGTTCAATTAGGGCTCAAAAGATGCGTCTAAAAAAACTATACAAAATCATGGAAAAACATTTATAGGTGTCCTAACATTTTTTTAAAGTAATGGGCAAAAAACGTTTTTTTGCAAAATTAAAAATCAAAAAAAAATTTAGTTGAACTTTATTAATATATCAGAAAGTACTCTCACTTTATGTCCGCACGTGAGATCTACAATTTAAATAAAAATTCAACCCAAAAGCTCTTCATGATTTCGAGATATTGATGAAAATGTGATGTTTACACACACATACACACACGTACGGAATGACATTTTTTAAAAATGTCATTTTTGAACTCCTGAGGTCAAATAACATAAAGATATGTCAAAAAATCGAACTCGAAAAATTTTGGCATTACAATACTTCCTCTATGAGGAAGTAATTTGATAAAATCTTTTCAAAACAATTGAATTTTGGTAAAATTGTTTAAAAATAATTGAAATTAGACAAAATCTTTTTAAAATAATTGGGTTTTTGAAAAATATAAAGTAAATAATCAAATTTTTGAAGAATTTTAATTATAAATGTAAATAATAATAATTGAATTTCTTAAAAGAATTTTTGTATAATTTAAAACAAAACTAAATAATTTTTTGAAGAATTTTAATTACAAATTTTCAAAAGATTGTTTTTTCAAAAATTTTTTAAATAATTCTGAAAAATTTTAATGTTTGTGTTATTTTTTTGTACATAAGTATTTAAATTTTGGGAATTATATTATTGAAAATAATTGAATTTTAAAAATTTATAATGAAAAAATTCCAACCTATAAAAAAATTTTCACAAAATTTGCAAAAGTTGATTTTTAAAAATTGTAATACATAATAATAATTTGTCGGCTTTTCGACATTCGAACTGGGCGACTGAAATGTCGAATTTTAGCGTACCAAAACCGAACACAACTCGGTTCAGTTCGAATTTTGTAGTAACTCGAATGTCGAATATTCGACATCCGAACTGGGCTAGTTCGAATGTCGGTTTTTCGACATTCGAACTAAGCTAACTCGAATGTCGAATTTTCGACATTCGAACTAGGCGAAAAAATTCGAACTGTTCGGTTCGAATTATTTTGCACAGCTCTATAATTATCTTCAATTAAACTTTTCAAAATTCCAATTATTCTAAATCATTTTAATTGCATATTTCGAAAATTTAATTAGAAAAAATTATTCAAAAATAATTTTTGAAAGATTTGTCTATAGTTATTTTTCACACTAGAAAAATCGAAATAATTTGCAATTTATACTAAAAATTTGGTATTGTGTTCCAATATTTGGAAGAAAAGTCGAAAAAGACGCAATTTTTTTTAAATAAGTCGAAAAAAGTCGCATTTTTTAAAAATAGTCGAAAAAAGGCGAAAAATTCATAATATCCGAGGCCTGTATAATTTCACAAATGAATTTAATATTATTTACAGGGCTCGAACTAGGTCCGTAAATTTGCCTCAAGTCCGAAAAAGTCAGTATTTTTTTAAAAAAGGTCCCTAATTTGATTGAGAAAAGACGAAAAATCTGTAAATTTTACAATATAATTTAAAGAGTTTTAGAAAATTTTAATAAAATTTGTCGCAAGAATTGAATTTTCTCATGAGATCTAAAATTCATCGGAGGAATTCAATTACTTGTAATAGAATTTTAACAAAATGTAAGAGACTTGAACTCTTTTTTTAAAAAATTAATTGATTTTCAAAAGTTTTTAATATAATTCTTTGAAACAATTCAATTTTTTTAATAGTTGTAATAAAATTCTTCGCAAGAATTCAATTACTTTATAAATAATAAAATTCAATTACTTTCAAAAATAATAAAATACTTCGCAGAAATTCAATTAGGTCTAAAAATTAAAAAAAAAATTCTTGTCAATAATTTATAATATTATGTACTAAATGTTTATATTTATGGTAATGTGTATATCTCTTGTATTTTTACTTTGAGGTTAAAATATACATTACCTGTCAAATTCACGTAAATAATACTTTTAATAATCATTAAAGTAATCTATTTGTAAAAATAGTAATAATAATAATCTAAATAATCTATTATTAATTACAGCTAATTTTTTATCTGATGGGCCAAATAAACTACTTTTTTGACTTGGCCTGTCTTGAAATTAATTATATGGAAGTGGGGTGACGGGCCAAATAATAAAAGCAACTTATTTGTCCCGCTGACGAAATAGACACTCTGATAAAATTTATATTCAGAACTGAAATACAAATAGTCAATAGTTTATTATTTTATAAATAAAATCAATAATAAAAGTAGTTACTTACTTGACCAGTGATTCCTGTGATTAATGCAACACGTCTGTCGATTGTTGCTGCCATTTTTAGCTCTCTTGTTTATTAAATTATAAAAATTAATTGCCAATGTCAGGAATGTCAATTTGTTAAAATAGTTAAAAAATTATCTTAAATGAAACGTAAGCATTCTATTAGATTACACCCAGTGCCACGTACTTCCGCATCATTCGTGTATTTAACTTCAATTTATCATACTACCGGTGTGGAAAATAACAAATAATTTTTAACAATTATTTCAAATACCACAATTCCTCCTTCAATTGCACATTAATACTTCTATTTATCCCTTATGCACAACCCGATAATTAAAAAAATAAAAACTTAAATGCCGGTGTTTATGTTTTGGTTTGCTAACATTGTTAGGTTATGTTAGGTCAGTGGCAATTTGCGCATGCGCGGCGCATTTGTCCAAAGCCCCATTTCCATGAAATTAACATCAATTCCTTCCCAACCCTGCTAAAATTCGTTTGTGTTTGTGTGGTACCCCTGCCTGAATGGTCCAACTTCAAAGAAAACTAGTCAAAACTAGTTCTCAAAATATTTCAGGTAAATCGATGTGTTTATTTATGAATAACAAGTTTATTTAAACTCTTAAAATGTCTTGTGAAAAGTTAATATATAATGTCCTCGTTTTTCACTAAAAAGGCAAATTTAGGGGAAAAAAAATTGAAATTAACTAAACTAATATGGATTACTTTAGTCAGACTTGCAAGTTTCCCTGCTTTCGTAGAAAAGTTCACCCCCTTTTGGATGAAGAACTCAAGAAACGTATAGAAAATTTGGAAAAACTTATTCTTTCCTTAAGACCCGATGGCAAGAATATTAAATCCGTGAGAAATAGAAGTTTACGAACACTTCTCAAAATTCTACAGCAATCATCCGATGATCAATTACAATTGGAAGATCCCAAGATTATTGTCAATTGTTCAATGAAAATTTTCACTCAATTCGATGATAGTTTTTGGTACATTGACACCTGTGGATGGAAACGTCAAAAACGTTATCAAGAAGCAAAAAATGGTTATATTCACCTTTTGAAAATATACATTCCAATAAAATGTAAAGAAACTGTTGAGATTGTCATGAATCATCTCGACAATGAACGACTCTGGCAAATTGAAGATTTATGTTCGGAAATAATTTGGCAATTAATCGAAAATGGCGCTCATGGTGCAATTGTTGCTCACGCCTTGTGCGATAAAGTCGAGCAGCAAATTACCGTAATCGAGAATGCTCGGGTAATTATAAAAACACTCTATGAACTTCTCGCTGTTTACAAATGGCCCCAAACTGAAGAAACTGTCACGTTTATTGAGAGACTTTTGAAACTTTATCTCCAAAGTTTACAAAATCGTTCCAATGTTGAACTCGAATACACGGTGTTTACCCGAGGATTCGAACTTTGCATTCGTTATCTCATAAAACAAGCTTCTAGTTCATTGATTCTTATCTTTATCAATCGAATGTGTTTCTGGTCAATTAATGAGAATAAAAGAAATTATTCGATTTTGGATTTTGGCAGCACTTTGGAGTATGCGGCCTATATGCATGAAACTGATCTCTTCGAGAATACACTCACTCAAGAATTATTTCCCCTCGTGGTACAAATGATAAAATCGTCAAATCGTCTTGTCAGTCTTCTCGGCAATCGTGTAATGCAATATCTCATCGACCGCGGTGAAAATCGATTCCTCTTCGACACGCCAAAGATTTTCTTCCAAAATTCCCGATTTCATTTGAATAGCAGACCATATCGTATGGAGGACAAGGCATTTCTGAAAAAACATCGCCAGGACATTCACGAATGTCTATTAATGAGTGTCATCAATCACTGCTCATATCGGTTAAATCTCGAGACAACATACTGTACAATTTGTCTAATTGCCGTCGAAATTCCCTGTGGCTTCACTGCAGCATCCTTGGCGTGTCTCACAATGACAATTCAGGACAAAATCATGTCCCATGGAAATTTTCATCGTGAATCCGTCTATCACGTCCATGTCCTAATTATCTCCGTAATGTCACTTATCTGCTGGTTACATCAGGCCGAGACATTCTATGAATACGTGAATAAAATCATCATGGAGAGAGCACAATGGGCCCCGTATCTAAATCCACCAATTCAATCGCGTTACAGTTTCGCGACTCATCACGTACGTTGGGAGAAACCGGAACTCTTCTTCATCGACTGGGAAGTGCGTTATGGACTTTGGAAACGTTTTCGTGATCGAAATTCTAGGATCGTTAAACCAGAATGAGACCTTTAAGGTGGAAAATATTTATTTCATCAAAATGGTGAGTGTTTATAATTACTCTCTCATAATAATAATACCCATTATTATTATTACCTTTTCTGCTATTATTATTATTAATTACGATTAAATCATTGCACGTAAATTATCATAATCTGATTATAATTATAATTGTTTATAATTTCCTAATTAACCCCTTAAAGAGGTTAAAAATTATAATTATAATAACCATTATAACAATGACTATTATTTGATCATAATTAACAATAATCGTGAATTTAAACTATTACTAATTGTAATTGTCGAAAATTACTGAGGATAAATTTCCAACGAGAATAATTTATGCAAAAGAAATGAAAATATGTACAAATAAGCCTTGATGGTAACAATGCACTAAAACCATAAATCGCCTCCATCTTCTTCATTCGACGGTGGCTCTTGTTTTTCGACGATATTTTCGTCTTCGGATTCCGATACAGCTAAGTCGTCTTGAATTTTACTCTCCTCTTTCTTTTCCCTGGCAGGCAAGCCAGCTAACAGGAAATCCGATGGATCGTAATTCGGATCAACATCCATACTTTCGTCTGTAATTTATTTAAAAATTTTTTTAAAATATAAATTCAAAAGTCAAAAGAAAAATTGAGCAATAATAAAATTTTTCAAAATTAACTTAATAAACTTTACCTTGCTGAAGAATCGGTTGTTGTTCTCTAGTATAAAATCCTACATTTCCTAATTGTACCATTGCTTCAGCTGCCTGTTGACTGTCGTCATCGGCCGGCATTTCAATATCTCTCATTTCGCTCATTGGGGATCCTAATCGATCTAGTCCTTGATAATTCACCTTTATATCGCTGTGAAAAAATTAAAAATAGAAAATTACTATCTTTGTAAATTAATTCTTTTTCAAAAAACAAACTGAAGGGAGAATAAATTTTATCTACCGATTTTCTTCCAATTCTAAATTCTCCATTTCCACGTGATCCGTTGGTTCTTCGCCAATAAATGGAACTTCGTCGAATTCATCCTCACTCGAACACTGCAAATCTGAAATTGAAAAAAAATATTATTATTTGTTAACCCTCTGTCAACGCTGACTTATCTCCATTCTAGCGCTTTTTAATGTAATTCCCATAGTCCCCACAAAGCGACCGAAAATTACTTCACAGGGCTCGAACCAGTCAAAGTATTTAAAAATACGGACTTTACGGACCAATTATTGAGTCAATAAGACAATAAGTCCGAGTCAAATAAGAGAACATTTTACTTAAAACTATAAATTCAACTTTTCATAATAATTAAAAATGACCGAGTGAATATTATTTTCAAGAATTTTTAACTAAAATTCCTCTTTAATTCAATTCATTTGTTTACAATATTCAATTTTATGAAATTTCAATTATTCGTAAATTTTTCAATTAAATATATATTAGAAAATAAAAACTTCAAATACTATAAAAATTTCAATTAAACTTTATCAAAAATATTAATTTCAAAATTCATTAATTTCTAAACGTTTACGCTATATTTCTTTTAATATTCAATTATTATCTAAAATTTTAAATGAAATTCATTTTTAAATTAATTTTTATTAGAAAATTCTACTAGAATTCAATTATTTAAATACAAAAATAAATAATTTATTGAGTAATTGAATGTTTCTTAAAGTTCAATTCCCATAAAGAATCGTTATCAAGGAATTTTCAAATATGTAATTGAATTCTATCAACGAATTTTAATAGAATTTTTAAGAATAATTACATTTTTCGAGAAATTCGATTAAAATTGTATTAAAAATAATTGAAATTCTGCAATGAGTTTTATTATTTATGAAAATAATTGAATCCCTAAGAAGAATTTTATCATTTTTGAACATAATTAAATTTCTGCGAAGAATTTTATTACTCTTGAAAATAATAGAATTTCTGCAATTCTAATTTGTAACTTTCCCAAATTAAATTTTTTTTCGTGTTTTTAACTAAACTTCTTACTTCTATAAATCCATTATTTATAATACTTTTTGATAAAGTTCTTTGAGAATTTTCAAATTCATTTGCTTACAATTCAATTTTTAAAATTCCAATTATTCGCAAATTCTTTAATTAAATAGGTATTTATTAGAAAATAAAAACTTGAAATAATTTTTAAAAAAATCCGCAATTACACTTTCTCAAAAAAATTAATTCATTGTTAGTTAAAAATATTAAAAATTCAAATTTTCAAAGATTTTAATTTGAAACTTTTCAAAAATTCAATTATCTTTAAAAGTTTACGCTATATTTCTTTTAATATTCAATTATTATATCTAAAATTTTAACTGAAATTCATTTTTAAATCAATTTCTTTAGAAAATTCTACTAGAATTCAATTATTTAAATACAAAAATAAATAATTTATTGAATAATTGCATGTTTCTTAAAAGTGAATTCTCATAAAGAATTTCGTCAATAAATTTTTAAATAAATGAATTATTTTGACGAATTTTAATACCATTTTTAAGAATAATTACATTTTTCGAGGAATTTGATTAAAATTGCATTTAAAAATAATTGTATTTCTGCTATGAGTTTTATTATTTATGAAAATAATTGAATTCCTAAAAAGAATTTTATTATTTACGAAAATAATTGAATGATTGCGAAGAAATTTATAAAAAATGTATAAATACCTAATTGCATTCCTGTGAAATTTTTATTATTTTATGAAAATAATTAAAAGTTTGCGTAGGATTTTATTAAATTTTTCTTAAATAATTAAATTCTTTTGGAAAATTTTATTAAAATAATTGATATTAAAAATCATTGAATTCAAGAAAAAATGTTTAAAATAATTTAAATTTTGCCAAGAATTTTATTAAAATTTTTAAAAATAATTGAATTTCAGAGAAGAGTTTAATTATTTCTAAAGATAATTGAAATTTTGACGAGAATGTTTAAAAAAATTTTAATCATAATTGAATTTCTGCGAAGAATTTTATTACTTTTGAAAATAATGGAATTTCTGAAATCATTTGCAATTTCTTTAAAATTCTCCAAATTATATCGTACAATTTACGAACTTTTCGTCTTTTATCAATCAAATTACGGACTTTACGGACCTTTTTTTTAAAAAAAATTGACTTTTACGAACTTGAAGCAAATTTATGGACCCTGTTCGAGCCCTGACTTCAAGATACTTTATTTTAGAATGTTTCGTAATTTTATTACCTTCGTCGAGAAGATCTTTCTTCTTTGATGGTCCGGCGACATCTCCTTCCAAGTCTCCTTCGACATCGACGAAATTAAAGTCGTCCAAATGAGATTTGTCGAACATATTCTCTGGAGAACTTGGTTGACTCTAAGATTAGTATTTCGAGAAAATTAATGAAAGAATGTTTGAAAAAATCAGAATCTGTCATGAAAATATAAAAAAAGATGTCAAATTTACCCCATGAAAATCAGGTTCTGCAATTGTATAATTGTCTTCATCGGGTCCTAACCACGAGGATGAATCAATATCCGCTTGTTCCATGGCTCGTTTTTGTACTAACGCAATACTATTTTCAATATTAGTGAGACTCTCGCCATACTGGAAAATTATTTTATTATTACTATTGCAGCTAAAGAATTAAAATACTTTTTCTTGACTAATTACTACAGTAAGTAAATTCGTTAATTAATGCAATTGGAAATTACTTACAGATTCCAAAGTAACTGTACAAATTTTAAGCATTGACTCGGCTTTCTGAGTAAATGGCGAATCGTCACCATTGTATCGTCGACAATTTTCTAGAATTTGCTCTATATCCCTCAGGAAACTGACATGATTATGATACTTGTGTGCTATACAAAAAAGAGTAAAATTATTTCAGAATTTGTAAAATGAAAAATAATTCTCATTCATTATTTTTAATGTGTTTACAAGAGAAACAAACCTGCAATTTTTCTCGAAATCGTTTCAAGATCCATTGGCTTTTTAATCACGTTGTAATAGTCCTTTACCATTTTTTTACTGACTGGCTTATGGAATGGCCATAAATCTTGCATTGATTTCAGTTTATTATTGACATCGCCAAGAATAAATGAAAGTGCAACTTGATCATTGTCGTCAAGCAATGGATTTATCGCCTTCTCAAGTCTCATCAATCGATCTTCTTTCTCTCTAAGTCTTTCAACACAAATATCCAACATTCGTTTTGCCGCAACTGTCAGTGAACTATTTCTTCCATTATAAATTGCCGAATTTTCTACAATTTGATTGACAGCCGCTAAGAATTCTTCACGATTACGATATTTCTTTTGTCGTAAATGATCTCTTATTGTTTGTAGATCCATTGGTTTCTCGATTATTTTATGATAATCAGGAACAGACTAAAAATGATAATAATAATAGTAAAGAAATTATCTCATTTTGCCGCTCAAAACTGAAATAGAGACATAAATTTATTTTTTAGTTAGATTATGTTGACAATTATCTTTCTTGTTTTACAAATAAAATTGAATTTGAAAATTGATTCATGAAAAGTTAATAAGTTTCTATTGTCTTGGTTTCGAATTTTCCATTATTGAACGAATTGATGCAAGAACCAAGTGTCCAGTGAATTAAAACATTTGCAAAGTAGAAAAATAATTGATAATTGTCAAACTAATCTAAGTAAAAAATAGATGCATTGTTTTTGCACGGCAGTGATTGTAAATGATTGTGAAATTTAAAAAATACCTTCGCATTGACAGGGAACAAAAATGGTTGTACATCCGGTAAGTCTCTCATTTCGTTCAAAATATTTTCGAGCATTGTCGACATTACAACAACAGGATCCGTTCTTCTTCTGTTCGCCGGTCTCTGTTGTCTCTTCAAATAATCACAGTGATCGTCGGCCGTTATTCTTCTTCGTTTCTTCGAATTCACCGCATCCTTTGGCACTTTCAGCAGCAATGTGCGTTTCTTCATTTCCTCTGCGTGCTGAGATTCCAAAATCTCAATTTATTTCATTATTAGTATTGTTATATCGTACATTTTTATCCTTATTACTAAGTAATTGCAGATTTAAGAAAGAATAAAATAGAAAATTTGATTTTGAATGAAAGAAGAAAATGAGGGAAAGATACCTTTATTAGTTTCGAGGATAATTTAACCTTGGTTCCATCGACATTGACAAGGTCCTGATCATCCGTATTGAGTTGCTTCTCGATCTCCTCTTCCTGCTCCTCGGTCATTGCCACATTCACTGGAGTTGCAGTTGCTGTACCATTCTGATAAAGGGGACAAGCTTTATTAGTACGCATATGCCCTACGTTACCGCAAGCACCGCATTTAACTTTAAGATCTGGTTTAAGTTTAGGTTTTTTACGTCTAGGAGTTGTGGTATCTGATCTAATTGATTTAGGAGTAAGTGTAGAAGAAGGAAAATTTGGAAATGGAAGGATACTAGCATTGGATGTGAGTGGTGTACTGGAATTGCTTCGATCGAGTAAAGGCGCCGAATTGAATGGTGTATTCGAATTGCCAGCCAACATTTTCTCCCTCTCCTGATTACGCTTTATTCTTCGCAATTGTTCCTGAATTCTTCGTTTCTCACGCTTCATCTCCTCCTTCTGGGCCTCGTCCAATATTGCAAATTGCTTAATAAACGATTCGTCTTTGGAATTACGAATTTTCAGGTAGGTGTCAATTACTGCCGGCTTACGGACAATTTCAATTCGAGTGAATTCCTTACCCTCGGGATTGCGGAAAGTTCGGTAGATTTTTAGTACACGACCTGGTTGGGCACTCATGTTATTAACTGGTGATTCGTCCTCGTCGTCTTTTTTCTTATCGCGATTCTTTTTGTCCTGCTCTTGATTCTCGCCCATCAACATTTTACGTAATTCGTGTCGCTGTTGCTCCTCTTTTTCGAGTGATAATTGTGTGCTTGTCTTTTTATTCGACAGCATGTTTTCGATGTTTTTACCCATTTCTTCAATATCGGAACTGTCTTCCTCGGAACTTTCGCCTTCGTCGGTACTGAGTACTTCATAAGAGGCTAGGACACGATTTTGAAGATCGAAAATACGTTGACATTCTTCTTTGTAACGTTCCTGATGTTCTGCGATTGAGAAACGATTACCACGGGAGAATTTTGTCATTACTTCCTCGCCCGCTTTGGCCTTTTCGGTGGACAGTGTACGTACGACGTCGATGACTTCCCAACGGGAGAGTTTTTTAATCTCCTCCTCGGGAACGCCGAATTTCCTCAGCAATGCCTTCGCGTTGTTTAGGGACAATCTTCTGAGATCGGCATCGGTACCGGTGACGGTTCGTTTCGGTTGCGCCTCCTGCTCCTCTTTGCTGATTGTGGGCTTATTCGGAACGCGAACGTATGAGAAACCTTCACCACAACCGGTTGGATCGGCAGGACCCGCGAGTTGTAATAAACATTTGCCCTTCATTGCTTGAATATAGGCCCGAGTTGTGTTCCACGGTGCAACCTTTACCTCGTCATCCATTTTCAATTGCATTTCCTCATCGTCATCATCTTGCGGTGTGAAGAGAAACTTCTCCCCATAACCCGCGTCCTTTAATCTCTGTTCAGCTGCAATGAGACTAAAATACGCGCAACATTGTTCAGGCGATACCATTGCACGAATTTCCTCCTCCGACGGTAATCGAAATTCCGGTTTGATCACCCACCAATTTGAGTCCATGCCCGTACGCTTGAAATCGGCACACAATTTCAATCTCTTTCGAATACTGCTCTCACTGTGCGAGGGGAATGCTTTCTTAATATCATCCATTCTTATTCTTCTCGGCGTGTCCATTGATTTCCAAAAGAGGCGATAGATGAAGACCTGAAGAAAATCACGTACAAAGATATTCGCTCGTTTTGAATTTGGACCCGGCACTTCGTACAGGGGACACAACTGTCCAGCAACAAAGACAGCGTCAATTTCCCGAATGTGGTACTGATGACGTGTTCGTATAACCAGAAAATCGGAGAAGGGAATTTTGTGCTCGTAAATTGGAGCTCGATACATATTATTCTCGACTGCTTGAATGCTTTGTCCAGGTGTGAGAATACCGAGGAATGGACTCGTATGAGCGTAAGCCGTCTCCCCGTATTTATATTTCTGCGGTCCATGATCTTTACCCGCCTTTCGTTTGTAATAGTTCTTCATTTTCGAACACATACCAACTTGATTGATGAGCGGTGGATGTTCCTCGGAGAATTCAACGAGAACAATTTCTCCATCGCGACCAGTTAAATCCTCGGGTGTTCTCATGAAGAATACATCACCACCACCCGAAGCTAAACGCTCTTGCTCGCGTTGTTTCGCCTTCTTTTTAATGTGCTTCAACAGAGGCAAAACGGCATGATGACCAGGAAGAGCAAGTGGTCCGTGACTGAAACGTCTCAATGGGGGACGATGGAAATTTCTTAGACGCATCGGTCCCATGTAGGTTTGAACAAAAGGTGCTCGAAGTTCAACAACCGGCGTACTGTGTTGAATAATATTTCCCCCACCGACTTTCAATCTCAGAGTCGTCTCCGACGATCGTGGTAGATAAAAGGTGTCATTCGAGATATTGAATGGATCCCGATCTGGCGATTTCGGCGGAGGCGGTGGTGTATCCTCCTCGAGGACATTGATAACACCAGCTTTTCCCAACAAAAGTTTACTCTTCTTTACATGCGGATGGGGGATTTTCACTTTCGGCTGACGTCCATGTTCCTTGTGAAGCAATGCCGGATCAATATCGTCCGGTATTCCAAGGACAATATTCTCATCATTTGGATCGAGAGTCAAGATTTTTGGTTTTGGTATTTTTTTCATACTCTCCGCGTCCCAGATAATTTCATCCTCCCAAAGGCCGTAAACGAGTTCTTCATTTTCCACGGGAAATATCGAGTACCACGTGTCATCGTAATTTTCCTCTCTTATTTGCTGAGCACCCTTCGGTAGTGGCCTGAAAAATATTTTTAGGAACATTTGTAACTTTCCAAAAATAGTTTAAAATAGTTTAACATTGTGAAAAAGAAGACGAACGTACAATTTATTTTTCTGTGATGGTGCCATTATTTGAGTGGCTAAACGAACATTTGGTGCAACCGGAACTGGAGCTCCTTTTCCCGGTTGACTGAAGGCTTGAGCCGTTCTATTACCACTCGATGGAACCCAACCAGCGGCATTATTTTTACTATTCAATTTGTGCATTACTTTATGTTTTATTTCCTCCCCATTCCATACGACGTCATCTTCCCAACGCAGTTGTGAAACCATTAAAAACGCATCATCGGCGAATTTTTCTTCTACAGCTTCTTGCTCTTGTGGTTCTTCCTAAAATTATTATCAAAAATTTAACAAATAAATTATATATTTATATAATATTATTTGAGTTCTTTTTATCTTAATTAAAAGTTTCTGTTTAATTAATTGTAAAACTATTGACATCCCTTTTTGTATTTTCATTTTAAAAATTACAAACATAAAATAAAATTTATTTTTATCATTTTTACCTTGACTAACAGTTTCTATTTAAAAGGTTGCAGGGCTCGGATCGTCTTTAAGACTCAAAAAAAGTCGCTTTAGTCACATAAATTTACAACAAAAGTCACGAAAAGTCGCATAAAATTTGCAAAAAAGTCGGAAAAAAGTCGCATGAAATTTTAGAAAAAACGACAAAAAGAAAACACAAAATTGTCAAAATTTTTTTTTCTTTTTTCCTTTTCTTATATATTAGTACTTTGTACGAAAGGGCGTTTTTTATTTTGTAAGCCCGTTGATACTTGAAATAAATAAATAAATAAAATTGTAAAAAAAATCACATTTCTCGACAACAGATACATTAATATCAAACAATCCGGAATAAAATTTTTAAAAATTTAATAAAATTCATAGCAAAATTTTAATTAGGTATTTTTAACATTTTTTTAAAATTCTCTTTAAAATGTCAATTATTTTTATAAATAATAAAATTCTTCTCCGAAATTCAACTATTTAAAAAAAATTTTAATAAAATTTTTCTCTGAAATTCAACTATTTTCAAAAGTAATAAAATTCTTCGCAGAAATTCAATTATATTCAAAATTTTTTTTTAATTTTTCGTCAAAATTTTATAAATAATAAAATTCATCATAAAAATTTAATTATTTTCAAAAGTTCTGATAAAATTCTTCGCAAAATTAAAATTATCTTCAAAAGTACGAAAATTCTTTACAGAAATTCAATTATTTTCAAAATTTTTTTTAAAATTCTCCTCAAAATTTCAATTATCTTTGTAAATATCAAAATTCTTCTGCAAAAATTCAATTACTTCTAAAAAAAAATCTGTTAAAAATTTCAATTATCCTTGTGAATAATAAAATTCTTCTCTGAAATTCAATTATTTTTTAATAAAATTCTTGTCAAAAATTCTTCGCAGAAATTCAATTATTTTCAAAATTTTCTTCAAATTTCTCGTTAAAATTTTCATTATCTTCATAAATAATAAATAAAATCAAATATCTTCAAAAGTAAGAAAAATCTTGGCAGAAATTAAATTATTTTCAAAATTTTTTTTAAAATTCTTCTCAAAATTTCAATTATTTGCAAAAGTAATAAAATTCTTCGCAGAAATTCAATTATTTTCAAAATTTTTTTTACATTTCTCGTCAAAATTATCATCATCTTCATAAATAATAAAATTCATCCTGGAAATTTAATTATTTTCAAAAGTTCTGATAAAATTCTTTGCAAAATTCAAATTATCTTCAAAAAGTTAAGAAAATTCTTGGCAGAAATTAAAATATTTTCAAATTTTTTTTTTTAAATTCTCCTCAAAATTTCAATTATCTTTGTAAATATCAAAATTCTTCTGCAAAATTCAATTACTTACAAATGTTTTATGAATTTCTTCTCAATAATTCAATTATTTTCATAAAAAATAATTAAAAGTTTTTTTCTTATAAAGTCTTATAATATAAAATATAATGATTTTATCACTCGGTCATCTTTAATTATTATAAAACATGAAGACATCGATTATAAGTTGTTTAATTTCAAAAAAAGGTTTGAATTTGAATCTTTTGAAAAATTTTAATTCCTAATAATAATTAAATATTTATTTAAAAAAGAAGTTATTGATGTTTTCGAAAAATTTGAAAGAAATTTGTAAATAAATGTAACAGAACATTTTATTGACTCAAACTTTTTCCTTTAAATTTAAAAAAATTTTTAATTTCAGTTGCATTTTACTAAAAAAATCTCGAAAAAGTCGATTAGTCGCATTTTTTTTTAAAAAAAGTCGAAAAAAGTCACATAAGTGGAAAAAAGTCGAAAAAGTCGTACAATCCGAGCCCTGAGGTTGATTAAAAGTTGACCAACTTTCTATGGTTTTACACAATTAAAAAGAAACCTTGTCTTATTTTCATTTAAAAAATTATAAACATAACCTAAAATTTGTTACTTTTAGGAACTTTTCTTCGGAGTACGACACAATTATATAATTATAATAATAATAATAGGGAAAATTTTCATACTTTTTCGGCCATTTTAAAACCATAATTAAAACCGTCCCCAGTTTCTGGCACTCCGAGAATATCGTACCAAATTTGTGCAGGACCAAAACGCCAATCGGCAACTTTTGGACCCATATCACCATTTTCGACAAATTCACCAGACTTTCCGGATTGCTCCTTATCTTCGACGGGCTTTAACAATTTTTCCTCATCATCCGAACGAAGGTCGCTTGGCGATGGTTCTGCACCATATTGCATAACCCATCCCTTGAAAAAAAAACATTTCGTCGTCAAAAATATTCAATTTCTTAATTAAATATTAAAAATTCAACCAATGAATATAGAAATATAAGAATAACAATTTTACTTTAAATTTAGCTCTTCTTGATTCCTGATCAGAGCCAGAATCGGAGTCCTTGATCTCTTGGTGGCGTTTCTTTTTTCTACGCTTTTTCACTCCTCGCCAAATTTGTGGCAAACTGCTTGGCTTCCCAGGACCAAAGAGTTTGGAAAATCGTAAGACTTTATTTGCACGAAAATCGGGAAACAATTCGGTTACATCAACATTGGCGTATTTCGATGGAAGCATTGATGCGAGAGGGGTTTCCAATTTTCGTTTTCGAACAGCTTCTGCTTCCTCGGGAGTGAGAACTTCTTTTTCATCTGGCAATGGTGGTGGTGGCATTAATTGTGTATCGGATTTATTAACCGGCTCTTCGTCATCTGCATCGTAATCTGTATTTTCCGATCGCTTCTTCCCCTCAAACATTTCGTCTAGAAAAAAATAATAATCTTGTAAAACTCACAATATTGTTTATCAATATCGTTTTCGTCTCTTTTCACTTTAATCAATTTATATTTAATTTAAAGATTAATATTAATTCTGTAGTTTGACTCTGAGCTAAAACTTTTCAAAGTTGGTACAAAATAATTGTCACCCAGCAACAGAAAATGTAAACAGAAAAGAAAATGAATTTAGAGGAAAAATAATTGGTAGAAAAGGGTCGATAGTCTAAAAATACTTTTTTTAAACTCAAAACAGTGAATACAATAATTTTATGAAATAAAAATAGGTTAAGATTTATAAATTTTTAAAATCCTTTCCTTTTTTAATTTGTTACATTCTTGCGGGGGTATTTCATTTGAAAATTTAAACGGCTCACATTTTTGTAGGAATATTAAAATTTTTATTCGATTTTCCTTTTTGTTTACAATATACAAAAATCCATTTGTGGAAGCTTCCTAAAATATTTTGTTGTAAAAAAATGAGATCGGTATTGAAATAATATATACAACTAGTAAAATAATATCAATATAATCAATAGAACCAAAGAAAAACATACTTGTATTATCTTCACAATTATCTTCGGCTAATTCGTTAATATCCGAAAAATCAAAAGCTGTTGGTGATTTTTCCTGATAATCTTCATCATCTTTATCACTTGTAACTATATTGTCTCTATCATTGTCCTTCTCCTCGTTTGTCTCACTTTCATCGTCGAGAGATTTTTTGGTATCAACATCATCCTTCAACATTTCTTGTAAAAGTGAACTTATTCCAAAATGACTTAAAGAGGCAAGATGTTGTTTTGCCTCGGAATCGAGAATATCATCTTCTAATTCGCCATTTTTATCGATGTTTCCAAACATGAAACCAGTCATGTTGATAGAGCCATCATCCCTATCGTTCTCGTCGTCTGAATCCATTTTCTTATTGGTTAATTAACTTACTGACAACTTGGTGAAATAGACTTAGATAATTATCACTCTTTTACTCGATAATTTATAATTGTTATTATATTTCTGTATATATTATATTAGAGGTTAGGAAGTCTTCCCAGTCTTTCCTTTCCTCTCTCCTTATGTTTAAGTTGATTCACATTCTTTACCTTTTATTACTTTACATTTTAGTATTCAGACATATAAATTTTTATATTGTTTAAGTCTGTAAACAATAAATTCTAATAACAATTGCATACTTTGATACAGACGTCAACGCACCAAGTCCACAAGTCATGAAATAAAAAATTAAATAGTCCGCACTTTGCACTTTTGAAATCGACTTTAAGGTATGGTTTACAAATTTCGTACGGTTTTTACGTAAGTTACCGTTAGAAATGATGTATTAATAATTCCCGCCATTAGTGGCGCTGCTGGCGCAGGTACATTTTTGTTGATGAGTTTGAACGTCTAACTTATTTGGTCTATGGACCAAAGCCGTATAAAGCTGTTAGTGAGCGTGTAGTGTTATAATTATTGAAATAAATTAAATTAATTTCTACAAATAATAATCATGTGAGTCAAATTTCGTTATTGGAAAGTTTGAAACTTGGTTTATAATCAAAGTACAAGTTTTCAAGTACCGATAATAGAGAGGAGTCATTGAAAAACGTTTTGCATCGTAAAGCTAACCTCGTTAAGAATGGCGGTCGGTTCAACAAAAGTTGTTCAGGTAACAAACATTGCACCCCAAGCGACCAAGGATCAGATGCAAACACTTTTTGGCTATCTCGGGAAAATAGAAGACATAAGATTATATCCAACGATTCGAGATGTTGCAGTGCCGGTTCAGTCGCGCATTTGTTACATTAAATTCCACGATCATGGCTGTGTTTCTGTTGCACAGCACATGACAAATACTGTTTTTATTGACCGTGCTCTAATTGTCATTCCATATCAGAATGGAGATATTCCTGATGAACAGCGTGCTCTTGAATTGACCAACAATGGTACAATTGTGCCAGGTATGTAGCATTTCCTTATCGTATTATTTACATACTTCTGATAATTCACGTTTACAAACGCAGAAAGTTAATACTAAGGATTCTATATAGATTAGAATTTCTAAGAAATAGTGAAAATCTAAATTTTGTCTTTTTTTAGGTCTTTATCCATCGGAGCCGAAACTCCCTGCAAATGTGGTGAATGCCATCGAGGGAATTCCGCCGAACCATGTCATCACGACTGTGGATCCAAAATTGGAAGCGAGTGGACTGCAAACATATCCTCATTTGCCCGGACACTTGGATAGTCGGAGAATCGAGGAAATAAGGAGAACACTGTTCATAGGCAATTTGGATGTATCGGTAACGACAGAACAATTAATAGAATTTTTCGGTAATAATAATGTGGAAGTAAAGTATGGAAGAATGTGCACCCGTGAATCAGACACTGAACATTACGCATTAATTGAACTTACCGAACAGACCTCAATAATCCCGGCATTAAAATTAAATAACGAAGTGCTGGGCGATAAGTCCATTAAAATAACACACTCGACCCAAGCGATATCGAAGCCCGAAGCTAAAAGTAACGAGGCAGCACAAAAAGAAATTGAGGAGGCAATGTCACGAGTTAAGGAAGCGCATAATTTAATTTCCGCAGCTATTGATCCAATGATTGGTGGCATGCTATCGAAAGATAAACGTAGTCGCAGTGGTTCACGTGGAAGGAAGTCACGATCACGTTCACGTGGTCGTTCGCGACGTTCACGTTCCCGTAAACGTTCACGCTCCCGTCACAGACGTTCACGCTCGAGGCATCGTCGTCGTTCCCGTTCACGTTCAAAACGACGGTCACGCTCCAAAGAGCGTCGAAGAAAATCACAATCACGCCGTCGTAGCAGTTCCCGAGGTCGGCATCGTTCCCGCTCACGTTCACGACAACGAAGGTCGAGATCAAGACGCTCACGTTCACGATCCAAGGAGCGCAAGAAGAAATCACCAAAACGACAACGCACCCGATCACGCTCCCGCACACCACGCAGTAAACGTTCGAAATCAAGGACAAGGCGTTCGCGCTCCAAGTCAAAGTCAAGATCCTCAAAATCAAAGTATTCCGAGAAATCGAGAGACAAGGACAAGGATCATGGACGCAGCAAGGACAAATCCGAGAGCAATGGAAAGAAGAGCGACAGTGACAAGAGCGAACGTAGTGAAAAAAAATCCAGTCGTGATAAGAAATCCGAAAGGGAATCAAAATCCGACGATAAATCCCGCGCTGATTCTGAATATCGCGATAGCAAGGAAAGACAAGGCTCTTCAGATTAAATTAATTTGTTTCCTTAATCGAAGCGCTGAATTGTGTGAATTTTTAATTAAATATTCCATGTTTCTTTTTTGGAGAGAAAAAAATCAATTGTAACGAATTAGTTAAGTAATAAATATTAAAAACAACTTTTTTCCGAAACAAAACAAAAAAAAGTGATTTTAAATCCAATATAGTCAATTTTTAACAAAAAAAATCTTTTTATTTATAAATTTGTGTAAACTAGAAATTAAGATTTAACAACAATATTAGTTACGTAATGTCACTAACGCTCTGTATGGCAATGGTCCTGCAGTGACACCGTCAATAAATTCACTAGAAATAGGCTTCTCCTCGCCAGGAACAACTGAGAATGTGAATTGAGATAAGAGTGTTGCTACCATAACGAAAATGTTACTTTTCGCAAGAACTTCACCCATACAACGATGTTTTCCTAGAGAAGAAATAATTTTTTTTTTTTTTTTTGGAAATAAATATTCAAGTTAATTTTGTCTCTTTTTTTCAAAACTTAATAATTACTTTTCTTTTTTTGATTTCAGTTTTACATAATAGCAAAGCAAAAGAAATATTACCGAAACTAAATGGTAGAAATTGTTCCGGTATGGCTAATTTTCCTTCATCGTCGATAAATCTTTCCGGACGAAAAGCTTCGGAGTCATCCCAAAAATAATCCATTAGAACTCGATTGAAATTAACGACAATCATCGTATCCTGTAAGAAAAAAAATTTAAAGATGGCAAATTTCAATTTAATTAGTTTTTGTTGAGAAAAAATTTATTTGTAAATTTTCTCCTCACTTTTGGAATTCGATGACCCAAAATGTATGTGTCTTCGATTGCTCTATGAGGAACATTCATCGTTTTTCCCATAAATATTCTTAAGGATTCGTAGACTATTGCATTTACGTAAGTCATTCTAAATTTTCAAATAAAAAATTTTTAGTAAAGTTTTTTTTATAATTGCAATATTCTAGTATTTTTGAATATAAAATATAATCAAAATTGAATAATTTATGATAAATTTCCTTTCAGATTACCTTGATTTATCATTTAATGTTGGTAATCTTTTGCGTGACGTTACTGAGTCTATTTCATCTTGAGCTTTTTTTTGCACCTCGGGATTTAATACTAAATATAAAAAACAAAAACCAATTGTTTTCGATGTGGTTTCCGATCCGGCCATGAATAAATCGACACAAATTGCCAAAAGTTGTGACTCTGAAAACAAGTAATTTTTATTTTATAATTTTTCTTTTTTTCTTTTTCTCTTTTCGTGCGTTTACCTGAGAAAGTTTCATTTGACTTTTCTGATTGTAAAACTTGTAAATAGGTGTCCATTAAGTCTCTCGGTGAATTAGGATCAAATGTCTCTTTGTGATTTTGCAATTCAACCTGAAAATATATTTATTTTTTATTAATTTTATTAAATGATACAATTCTTCACAAAACATCAATTATTTTCAAAAATTTTGGTAAAATTCTTTATGAGAATTAAAATGTTTTCAATTTTAATTAAATTCCACAAAAAAATTCAATTATTTTCGAAAATTTTAAATAAAATTCATAGCAAGATTTCAATTTTTTTGATAATTTATGAAATATTTTTTTTATTAAATACTTTGAAAAAATTTTTTAAATTATTTTTAACAATGATGATTAAATAATTCAAGAGAATTGAAATATTTTTAAAACAATTTTAATTAAATTCCTCAAAAAAATCCAATTATTTTCCAAAAATTTAAATGAAATTCTATTTAAGAATTAAATTATTTTTAATACAGGCCTCGGATATTATGATTTTTTCAACTATTTTCAAATAATGCGACTTTTATCGACTTATATTAAAAAAATTGCGACTTTTTCGACTTCCAAATTTTGCGACAAAATACCATATTTTTAGTATAAATGCTGCAACTTTTTTCGATTTTTACGAGCAGTATAAAAAATAGCTGTAGATAAATTTTTCGAAAATTATTTTTGAAAATTTTTTCTAAATAAATTTTTGAAATATAGGGGAGAGTGGGGCAAACCGGACCTCCTAGCGGTTTTTTAACTCTTGTGACTAAACGAATCAACCGATTTCATTTTTCGATGGCTTGTTTGAAAGATCATTTAATTGCGCAACTTTTTTCCCAGAGACACCTATACTTTATCTTTTATTGTTTAGTTGCTGTGTTAACTTTAAAAAATTTTGCAAACGGTCCGGTTTTCCCCACCCCCTGGGGTAAACCGGACCGTTTGGTTTTTTATTTATAATATTGCATTTACATAATCTACAATAATAAAAAACATAAAGAATCATGTAAACAATGGTTGTAGTAATGAAAATAATAATACGGGATTGAATTTTAATTAAATAAATATTTTTTTAAATAAAAAAATAAAAATGTCTGTCATTATCAGAGAAACAATATTAAAGGGTCCAATTCTCATTGGAAGACAATTATTTTTCATTGTAAGTAAATATTTTAATCAAAGAAACATTTTATTTAAAAATAATTTTTATGAAACTTTAATTCAATGGAAATATCCTACGGCCGGTTTGCCCCACCGAAAACGGTCCGGTTTGCCCCACAGGCCCATTTTGAGAATAAATGTTTGTCAAAAAGAAACGCTTTGCAAATTCATCAAAGTTTTTGGTGGTAAATATTCCTGAGGTGTGTACCTTCAAAACCCAAGACCTAATATTTGGAAATATTACACGATTTCCTCAGAATTTCCTTAAGAAAAAATTCGTAAAAGTGTAGAAAAAAACTAAAAAAAAAACTTTTGCTCCCTTCGTCGCACAAACGCAAGCTAAAACTGTCAGATTGAAAAAATAAGGTATACTAAACATGGTTGTTTTAAATTTGTAAACAACACTTCTTCCAATTTCGCCACTTCGGAAATATTGAGGGGGGTCCGGTTTGACCCACTCTCCCCTACAATTATTAAAAAAATTTTGAATAACTGAAATTTAGTAAAATTAATTAAAAATAAATTTAATTATTTATTTTTTAAAAACTCAATTATTTATTTGTTTAATAATTTTTTTTTTTGCAAAATTTAATTATTTTAGGGAATTTTATTAAAATTTGTTGCAAAATTCAAATATTTTCATGAATTTTAATAAAATTTTTGTCTAAATTCCATTTTTTTATGAATTTTTAAAAAAATGTATTGCAAAATTTAATTTTTATCAGGAATTTTAATAAAATTTTTGTCTAAATTCAATTTTCAGGAATTTTTAAAAAATTTATTGAAAAATTTAATTATTTCCATAAATTTTAATAATAGTCTTTGCAAAATTCAATTTTTCTTTGGAATTTTATTAAAATTCTAATTCATCTATAATTTTTAATAAAACTTTTTGCAAAATTCAATTATTTTCATGTTTTTTAATAAAATTTTTGTCTAAATTTCATTTTCAGGAATTTTATTAAAATTCGTTGCAAAATTCAATTATTTTCATGTTTTTTAATGAAATTTTTGTCTAAATCCAATTTTCAGGAATTTTTAAAAAATTTATTGCAAAATTCAATTATTTTCAGGAATTTTAATAAAATTTTTTTTCTAAATTTAATTTTAAGGATTTTTTTTTAAATTTATTGAAAAATTCAATTATTTTCAGGAATTGTAATAAAATTTTTTTTCTAAATTCAATTTTAAGGATTTTTTTTTTTAAATTTATTGAAAAATTCAATTATTTTCATAAATTTTAATAAAACTCTTTGCAAAATTCAATTTTTTCTGGAATTTTATTAAAATTCTAATTCATCTATAATTTTAATAAAACTCTTTGCAAAATTCATTTATTTTCAGAAATTTTATTAAAACTTTTGCCAAATTTAATTATTTTAATGAATTTAATTAAAATTCATTGCAAATTTTAATTGATTTTTAAAGATTGTACTTACTAAATTTAAATTATTATTTAAAAAGATTTTATCAAATTTCAATTTTTTAAAAAAAATTTTTAATTGTTATGTAATTTATTGTAAAACTATTGCGTCTTTCAAAAATTATTTAGAAATATTTCTAAAAAGTTAATTTTACGATTTTATTTATTAAAATTTTTAAATATATTCTACCTTAATATCTTTAAAAAGAAAAATTAACGGGTTTCAATTATTATTGTAAAAAATTGAATTTTTGTATTTAAATAATTGAATTCTTGAAGAACTTTCAGAAAAATATTAAAAAGTAATATAGATATGTAATTGATTTAGAAATGAAGTTTAGTTAAAAATTGTAGAAAATAATTGAATTCTTTTAAGGGTTGTAGTTTTAATTTTTAGAATTTTTTAAATTTTTTAAATTTTATTTCCTGGTAAAAAAAAGAAATAAGAAGTATTTAAATATTTTATTTAACAAAATTATACAATTTTTGATTAATTGAATTTTGAAATCAGTGAAGAATCAGGGAAATAGAAAATAAAATATTAGTGTGACAACACTAAATTAAATAATCGACTTTTTCCACTTTTTTTTCTATTTTTAATCGACTAAAGCGACTTTTTTTGTTCGATAAAGTCGATCTGAGGCCCTCCTGCTGTTAATACAATTTTAATTAAATTCCTCAAAAAAATTCAATTATTTTCGAAAATTTAAATAAAATTCTATTTAAGAATTGAATATTTTCATAATTTATAACATTTTTCGCAAAAAATTAATTACTTTAAAGAATATTAATATATACCAATATAATTCAATTATTTTCAAAAATTTTGACAAATCGCTTTATAACAATTTACCTATAAATATTTTTAATGCAATTATTTTGAAAAGTTTGAATAAATTTTTTTTAAAGAATTTAATTATTTTAGATTAAAAATAATAAAAGAAATATTTTGAATTGAAATTTTATAATTAATACTACAATTTATAATTTTTATTGTAATTAAATAATTATGATTAACTAATCGAATCTAAGCTAATAGTGATTAATATTGATTCAATCCTATAATAAAAAATTACTTAATATATATTAAAAATTGCAGACCTTAATAAAATGCCATAATTCTTGATGAGTTTCTAAAAATGCTTTATAACCGCTTGCTTTAGGTGCAATGTATCTTAGAAAAGGAAAATGACCAAATGGACTACCAATCATGTCAATTTCGCCAAGAAGTTTGTTAAGAATCCTCAAAAGATGTTTCAATGGTTTGTCATCCGTGTTGTATCTACAATTTTTTCAAACGGTTAAATTTCTCTTTTGTATGAAATGACAAATCCAGAAAATTTAAAAAAAATAAACAGAAATAAAATAAATAAACGCAGGTAAAAATTAAACAGAAATAAGAAAAAAAAGATTCAGATAAAAATCCAAAATTAAAAAATGATTGCAAATATTTTTTCTAAAATTAGAATTGAATTCTAATTTCGTATTCTGTAATTGACTAATAATGAAATGAATTTTTCAGCGCAAATTTTACCGTCTGCCGGCCATCATTCGCCAAAGTGTGTTCAATACGGGAACACCAAAAGCATCATGCATTGAGATAACAACACTCTTCGGTTGTGAGAGTCTGCGAATTTCCTCATAGTCCTCGGCTTTTGCATAAACATTCTCCAATTTCATTGGTTTGAATTTTTCTTTTTTCTCCACTGTCATTTCCATTTCGTCAATTAATTGATAAATTTGTCCATCTTTTGATTTTTTATTATTATTGTAGGAGGAATTATTGTTATCATTTGACAAGTTGTCACGTGTACTGGATGTCGTCCTTCGAATAAGCTTCTTGAAATAATCAGCAAGATGTTGTGCCTCCTCTTCAATCAAAGTTGCCATACTTGTCTTTCCAAAACCAAATTCACGCAAATGACGCACTACAAATCTTCGCTGTTCATTCCATAAATTCCCATCCGTAAGAATGAGACCTTCAAATATTGAATATTATTAAAATATTAAAGACAAAACTCATAATAATAATAATAATAATTTTCTTACCGAGTCTTTTGCCGAATGTTCGAACTTCATAAACGGGACCAAAGGGTTTTCCATCGCAAATATCATTTAAACACATTGATCGCATACTTTCGAAACTATTTAATACGACGATTCGATCGACTCCTATTTTTAATCCCACTACAGGGCCATATTTTTTACTTAAAGTTGTGAAAGTCGAAGCAAGGGATCCAGTTTCTTTTCTTAGTCGTTTGACTTCTAAAGCTGATCCGAGAATCGGCCACCATCGCGGACCTTTGTTTATTTATGGGAAAATAAGAAATAGAAATTTAGAATCTAATTAATTGAATAACATTTTTTAAAAATACAATTTCAAAAATAATTTACCTGGTGGATATCCGTGGGGTTTTCGTGATCCCAAATAGAAAAGTAGTAACGTCACAATAAAAAAAAGAGTTGCTGTTAAAAAAAAACTAAAGCAAATTTCAATAATTAGTCAAAAAACAAACATTTTTGCCAAAAAACTTTACATTAATTATTAATATTTATTATTACTGTTTTTACTAATTATTAATATTATAATATTAACAATTCAAATTGTTTACATTAATTGTCCTCGTTAACCAAAAAGATTTTGTTACTTTCCTTTCTTTGAAATAGAAGTACTTTTAATAACGTTTGGAAAAAATTTTCTAAATTATATCTTTTAATTAATAATTATCATAGTTAATGATTTTAAATTAAATTTGAAATTGAAATTAAATTTAAAATGTAAATTAAACTTTAGTAAAAGAGTAGAATTTTCTGTTTTATTTTCAAAATTTATCAAGTTGAGAGTTATTTTGTTAAATTTCAACAGAATTTAAATATTAACTTAATTAATTTGAATAATTTGATTAATTTCAAATTAATTAACATAATTTTGAAAAATTTTGTGGAAATAAAATAAGAAAAATTTTTTATATCTTGTCCTCATGTAAATAGATTCAAATAAGTTGATTGGATTTAGTGTAAACAAGAAAAAAAAGAAAAATTGCATTGCAGAATGATTATGACTTTTTTAACATAATATCAAATATATGTAATTCATTTAAAGATGTATATTTAAATATTGTAAAACTTTTCCATTCTCTGTTTCAAAGAAAGTGAAACGTATAATCTCATTGGTGAAAGTTGTATACGGAAGGTGCGTGGTTTAGAGACCGTCACTTTCAATCTTGTATCATAACGAGTTGCGTAATTTTACACATCTTATTCTTTCTTTTTATTTATTTTTTTTTATTTTGCAAATTATTTTTAACTTTTTCTTATGTATTTATTAGTCATCAATTTCTCTTTATTTAAATACCATTTTTTAAATTATTTCAACTTTGTATTTGTTTACAAATTCAACAATAATTTTTTATTTATTTTGAAATTTGTTTTCTTTTTGAGTAGAAAAATAAAATGCAAATGATATTGTTTGTTAGAATTGTAATTATTTGCAAATTGCAATTAATATTTTTCAAATTTTTTCATTAATGTTATTTTCCTTCACACTTTTTGGTGGCTCTTTAATGATATTATTTATTTTTCGAGGAAATAATTTTAATAATTTAAACAATTCACATAAATTTTTCGTATGTTGGTAAAAATTCGATCAATATAAATAGAAAATTGAATGGAATTTATTTCGAAGAAATAAATAATAACTTTTACGTAAACTAAATTATAACTCGATTAAGTTCATTGTATTTTTATGTATATTATTTATACCCTACATTTATATTATTTAAAATTATAATTATATTATTTATACATTTATATTACTTTAAATTTTAATTATGTTATTTATACATTTATAAATTTACAATTTATTAGTTTGGACTGAATTAAGAAAGGAATATTTGAGAATATTATTGTTCATTTAGGAATTTTTTAATTAGGAAAAACACTAATTATGATAATTAAATTTTATTTTTATATAGAAATTATGTCACACTATTTACACAATTTTTTTTCACAAAATTATAACTCACGTGTTACAGATTGACCGGGATTATTTTACCTTATTTCCCACATGATTAGTCGACGAGTATGTCTGCAAAACTGTCTGTGAATTGTGGTAAACCATGCATTTATCTCCGTTCTTGCACGCGGATGCTGTCGTTGAGTAGGGAGAAGGTATGTTTATATTTTATTCACAAAAAGAAAAAAAGTAAAAAAACATAAATAGTGATAAGATTACAAATACTAATAAATGTAATTCTGCAAATAAACAAGATAGATACGATTTTAGTAATGCTGATATTGCTAATTTAAACCATTTACTTAATAAATATTGAATGTAGGGGAGACTGGGGCGAGAGGTTAAATTTTGCATAAATGAATTTTTTTAGACAATACATATAATCCGCTTAAGATGCAAATATTTATATTATATCAATATTGTAGGGCAACTTCTGATATTTTTGCATACAATACATGTTTTGTCCTTTTTTGAAAATTTTGTTTTTTTTAACTTTTCTAGCCTACTAAAACTATTTTCTGATAGGTGTTAAGTAGTAGATAAGTTAAAGTATAAGTAAACAAGTAATTTAGTCAATAAAAGATCTGTGTTTATTTAACAAAAGCTTTAGAATATAGTTATAAAGTTAATAAATTGAAATTTCAAAAAATTAGATTAACTCTATTATACCTCTTATTATAATTAGTATACTGTACGAATGGACACAGCCCGTATATAGGTATTTGAATAAATAAATAAATAATATATTTTTTTATATTCACTTTTTGATTAATTATTTTCATTTTTTTCATTTTTGAATTATATGTATGTAAAAAAAATGATTCTTAATTGTCTAAAATTCTTATTTCTTTTTAAATTTTGTTAATAATAATAATAATATTAGAAGAAATTACTGATAAAATAATTAAGATTTTTAATAAAAAAAATTTTTTTTTTAATATTCTGTTTTCAAATCTCGAGTAAATATTTGATTTAATATTGTAAGTTTGGGTATTCACTAACAGATGTCAGTAAAATTCAGTTTTGTAGAGTGATAATTATTTATTGTTATATTATTTTATTTGTTATTATTTATATTTTCTTTTATTAATTAATTATCTATAGGGAAAATTTTATTTTTTTACTCTTAGTTGAAAATTTTTAAATCGTAATTGTCAAATTTCATTTTAATAATTTCGTTATAAAGAAATATTAAATGAACTAGTAAATGTTATAATGCGCGCAGAATAACGTGATGTTCAATTTGTTAGATTTGTTATTATCATTATTATGCAAATTACAAAATTTACATTTTCAAATATGAATTTTTGATTAATTTCTGATTCAAACTTAAATAAAAATTGAATTATTAACAAATTTACTAATTAAATATTCTTGTTTTTTAATTACAAAAATTTTAATAAAATTCTTCGCAAGAATTCAATTATATTCATAAATAATAACATTTTTCGTAAGAATTCAATTATTTTTTTAAATAGTAAAATCTTTGCAAAAATTCAATTATTTTCAAAAAAATTTCACTAAAGAATTCAATTTTTTTCTTAATTCGTTATAAAATTTTTCAAAAGAATTGAATTAATTTCTAAAATTTAAATAAAATTCAATAATTAAATGCTCAATTTCACTTATTAACAAACCCGATTATTTTAAAATCTTGAAAGCAATTGTTCATAAAATTAAATTATTTTCAAAATTTATAGGTAATTAATATTATTGAAGAAACTACATTATTTTAAAAAACTTATAAAGAAATTCTTCAAAAACAATTTAACAATTGTTTTTTTTTTTTTTTTTGATAAATTTTTTGATAAAATTCTTTGCAACAGTTCGATTTATTCAAAAAATGCCAAAAATGCGTATTTTGCTTATTGAAACGTAAGTTGCTTAAAAACTAGAGCCAATCCAATATTTTCAATGTCAAATTCGGATTCTACGGACAAAATCCTATAAGAATTGGCTTCCATTGGTTGGGCCACAAAATATGTTTAAAGTAATTCGTAAAATTAAATTTTAAATAAAAAAATAGTGAATAACAATTAATAATTTTTTTAATTCAATAGACAAATAAAAATAAATAATCATAGTTTTTTTATGAAAAAGGATCAAAAATAATTTTTAAAACTTAAAGAATAAGTAATAAATTTTTAATTTTTAATTAATTAATTTTTTTTCTTTATTGTAATACATAGATTTTGGCAGTCACAATATATCATAATATTGTCATACATATACATATATATTTTTCTCTATTACATAATATTCTTTTTTATTTACACTATACGGGGAACAAATATTAAATACGAATAATTATTACTTATAGCTATCTTTTTCTTTTTTTTATTCCTATAGGTACTTTCTTTTCATGAAATGTGCAATAGTATATTTTTATCTGTACAAACTTTTATTTCGTTAATTATACTTGAATTTATTTTACACACTGTCGAATATTGTTAACTCAAATTCTAGTAATTCAAATTTTGCATTTCTTTTTCAGATAAAAATGCGCCAGTTTCGTAGGTTTTGATTTTCTTTTTCGACAACTAGGACTTTTTTTTGTGAATCGATTTATCGAAGTTTGACATCATATTTTTAAAAAGGTCATTTTTTATATTAAATGTTTGGCATTTTTACACTGGTTTATTTATTTATAATTTTTTTTTGCAAAATTTACATTAAAAATTTGTTCAACGATGAAATTTAATCGTTTTGAAATTTTTTATGAATAAAAAAGTAAAACAAAAGTTGAAAATGTAGAAATACATTTTTATATTTATATGTAATATTTTAAAGAATCGTTTTTTAAAAACTTTCTCTAAAAACATTTTTTATAAACTAAAAGGAAATTTACTTTCTTTAGGCAAATATTTTTTTAAGAAACTCTTTTTAGACTTATTAAGATCAGAAAAAAATGTTCTTTTTTCGTAAACCGCCATTTATGACGAGGAACAATTCTTAAAGAAGGGTTCCCCGTAAAAAACCAGTTTCTAACTCCTCCCAAAACTTCTTTATAATAAAAGAACTGTCTTTCTATTGGATAAATCACAAATCAAATCCCCCTCTAAGAAAGCAAAAAAAAGTCCTTTTAAAAGAAATAATTACCTTCTGTTAAATTTCTAAAGACTTTTTTGATAAATATTACAAAAATAATTTTCTAAAATTTAGAATTAGAATTATTTGTTTGCCTTACTATATATACATATTAATTAATTATTAATTAATAAAAATTTACATTAACGTTCGAGTTTAAAAAAGAGCTATATAGGAAACAAGCTGAGCTTTATAGAACTTTGGTTTAATTTTTAATTTCAGAAAAGAAATTTTCTTTTCCTTTCTTTTCTCTTCTTTTTCTTTTCCAATATTTAGAAGAACTTATCTAACTTCTTTACAAGAATTGAATTATCAATTATTTATAAATTATAATTTACAATTCATCAATTAAATGGAATTGAAAAAAGAGAAAAGAAATATAGAAATAATTGAATTCTCTAAAATCGAGGTGATTGTTAAATAAATTATAAAATGATTTTTAATTATTGCAGTGATATCAAATAATGATGATGGTGATCAGGCGAAGGCATGAACTCTTGTAAGGACTTCGTCGCAAGATTGACCATGAAAAACATCATCGAGATGATCACCGCGATTTTCTTCATACTCCGCGGGTCACATGGTGTGCTGAGGTGGAGGTAAAATAAGATCATATCCTGACGATGAATCTCGTATTCCTTGTTGATAATGATGATGGGAAGTTGCCATCATTTGATGATGCGTCTGCTGATAATATTGATGATGGCTCATACTCGAATGGCTCGAATAGTAAACAGAACTTTGATCAATATCTTTTCCTGAAAAATTCAAAAATTTTGCAAAATTATTTCCTTTGGTAAGTGCGAAAAAGAATTTTTTTTACATATTTTTCATTAACTACTGTTGGAAATAGGAGGAATATTTTTTTCTTAATAATTATTTTTTATTGACTATTTCGGTAAATATAGCGAAAAATGTTTTTTTCGCAAAAATAAATAGTAAAATAGTGAAAAATACTTTTTTTATATTTTTTTTATTAATTATTTTGGTAAATAGCAAAAAATATTTGTTTGATAATTTTTTTTTATTAACTATTTCGGTAAGTTTCAAAAAATATTTTTTTCATTATTATTTTTTATTAACTGCTTCGGTAAATAGGAAAATATATTTCTTGTTGAAATAAAATATATTTCTTTATTGTTTTTCATTATGTACCGTAAGCTAAATTTGCTCAATTTTTCAATTCTTTTTTACTTCGGGAAACGATAAAAATAAACATTGGCACTGAAAATATATAATCTTTAACCCTTTATCTTTCCTATTACTGCATAAAGAAATTAAAATATGTTGCAGAAAATTATTTATAAGCCGTTTTTTTGTGAGCGACTTTACCTTTAAATTATAATCTGCAAAAATGAAACTAAATATTCTTTAGAATCAATAAAGAAAAAAATTAAGAACAATATACAAAGTTATTGGAATAAATATTTAATATTGTTTTATCAATAAGTAATTAGATTCAATCATTCAATCAAACGTACTCATAACCATAAAAAACAAGGTTAAGTTTGACAGTTTAGTGCTTAAACCGTTTTAAATCGTTTAATTTTCAGTTATAAGAGTACTATTATTTAAAAAAATCGAATTATAAATTAAAGTAATTAACATACTTAAAATATCCAGGCCCAAACATCTTTTTTGTAGACTTATTTCCTGAGCGAATTTACACAACAAATTTGAATTTTTTTTTGAATTGATTTTTTGCAGAATCTGTTTATTGCTTTAATTTTTGTGCTTTATGAATATCATGTTAGAAATACAGAAAATGTAATCTTCAGAAGTATTCAACTTAAAAATTTTGAAGTAAAGCTTTATTCCCTACTTTTTCATACTACTTGTTCAATATAAAAATTATTCACTTGTGTTCTAAATATAATTTCTACTGAAAGTTACCAATGAATTTGCTGCAAATAAATTTTAAATTAAAGTTTAGCATTTATATTAACCAAAACAATTGTAAATCTTAAATATTTCTGTCTAAAAAGTATGTTAATCGAATTTTAAAAAATAGACATCGGTTAAGCGAATTTACCCTACATGAGCGAATTTAGCCTCACTTACGGTAACTGTTTCGGTAAATAATAAAAAATATTCTTTTATTAAGTCTTTATATATTTATTTATTCACTCAAATTTTTTATTTAGTTTTATCAATATTCATTTCGAAAAAATACTTTTTTTTCTATTATAATTATTACTTCAGTAAAGAGAGAAAAATATTTTTTGCATTCATTTATTTTTTATTTATTCATTCAAATTCGTTTGTTCAATTTCACCAATATTATTATGCAAATTACAAAATTTTTTATTTTCAAATATGAATTTTTGAATAATTTCAGATTCAAACTTTAAAAAAATGCAATTATTAACTAATTTTTCTTGTTTATTAATTTCAAAAATTTTAATAAAATTCTTCGCAAGAATTCAATAATTATTTTCATAAATAATAACATTCTTCGTAAGAATTCAATTATTTTTATAAATAGTAACATTCTTTGTAAGAATTCAATTATTTTTAAAAATAGTAATATTTGTTTCAGAGAATTCAATTATTTTTAAACAAAATTTTAATAAAATTTCACAAACGAATACAGTTATTTTTTAAAATTTTAATAAATCCTTCGAAACAATTCAATTATTTTTTTAAATAGTAAAATCTTTGCAAAAATTCAATTTTTTTCAAAAAAATTTCACAAAAGAATTCAGTTTTTTTATCCGTTATAAAATCTTTGAAAAAAATTCAATTATTTTCTAAAATTTTAATAAATTATTCTTTGAGAAAATTCAATTTATAAATACTTAGTAAAATTCATTGCAAAAATTCAATTCTTTTCAAAAAAATTTCATTAAAGAATTCAATTTTTTTCTTAATTCGTTATAAAATTTGGGTGTAAAAATAAAAATAAAAAAAAAAAAAAATTTTAAAGGAATTCAATTAATTTCTGAAATTTTAATAAAATTAAATAATTAAATGCTCAATTTCAATTATTAACAAACACGATTATTTTAAAATCTTGAAAGCAATTGTTCATAAAATTCAATTATTTTAAAAATTTATATTTAATATTATTCAAGAAACTCCATTATTATAAAAAACTTCAAAGAAATGCTTAAAAAAGAATGTAATTAGAATTTTCAAAAAATTTAATAAAATTCTTCACGAGATTTCAATTATATTCCTAAATAATAAAATTCTTTGAAGAAATTCTATTAATATCAAATTTTTTTATAAAATTCTTTGCAACAGTTTGATTATTTTCAATACATTATTATTATAATTGAAAATATTTAAAAAGAAAAATTTTTAAAAAAGTTCAGAAATAAAAAAGCAAATAACTAACTTCAAATTGCGAACAGATTATCGGATTACAACGATTATTAATATATAGAAGAAGATTAATTATTTTGTTTAATAATTATTTTGTTTCTTAACTTTTTTAAAAATTTTTCTTTTTAACTAAAGATTAAAAACCTAAATTTAATATTGTTGTGTAAATAAATAAATATAAATAAGTAAAATAGAAAAATATACGCACTACTGTCGGAAATTATCGGTATGGCTGCACGCGCATGGCCCAAAAACATACCAATCTTTAAATCACGATTTTTCTGTAAAAACAAATTTCAGAAAATTAACAAATATACCATTAGAAAGTTTATAATATTCTACGTCAAATGATATACAATAGAAAATTTCAATAAATTACACAAAGATTTTAGCAATCGACAAATTTCAAGAAAAAATTATAAAATGAAATTTTTGTTGACAATTCTTTAAATTCTGGCATAATTAAACCGTATAAAATTGACCAATTCAATGCATGATATCTCGCGAACTGAATAAGATTTTTTTAACTTTTTTGGTATTAAATTAAAGATGAGACTTCAAGGATGATTGCTTTGTGTAATTTATTGAAATTTTCTATTGTATATCATTTGACGTAGAATATTATAAGTTTTCTAATGGTATATTTGTTTTTACAGAAAAATCGTGATTTAAAAATTGGCATTTTTTTAGGCCATGCTCGTGGAGCTGTACCGATAATTTATGACGGTAGTGTCGTGTATTTATAAATAAATAGAAAAATACTAAAGGCGGTAAATTTGCATTTTGAAATTTGACACGTTCTGATTGGCTGAATGAAATCTATCGATATGCGTTCGATATTCAGGTGCGCTTGCGGCTAAGTTCAGTTGATTGAGTGACCGTTACAACAATAAAATTAGAAGAAAAGTGCACATTAATAGTGATTTTACACAAGAATGACATTGTTCATTATTACTTACCACCGTCGTAACGACCGTAAAAATGAGTTTTCACATCATTTATGGGACTCAGGCCTCCATTATGGTGATGACTCGAGTGCACTGGGGACGGAGTCACAGGAGTTGCGTAGCCGTGATGATGGGAACCCATGGGACTCATTACTATCGGACTACAAGAATTCATGCCAACTGGAGACATTCCCATGGCCGAGATTGGTGAAATGGCCAAATTTGTGCCGACCGAGTCCAAATTCGGCAACGATTGATGACCGGTACTACTGCTAACCGAACCATTCATATTCCCATTGTTCGCATTCTGGCAATTCAACAGCATGTCTCTGAAACATTTTCTTCGGTGAGTTCTTTTATTTAATTCTATTTATTCTAGCCCAATTAACATATTATATCTACTTGTAACATACTTATCAAAGGAAAAATATGTCATTTTCGGAAACATAACCTACAATTTCGTCTATATAATTACGAATTCAATGTTTCTTGCGTTTCTTGTTCTTGTTGACATTATAATATTGAGTGAATAGTTTGAAAATCCTTTTGTATTTTCGTCCAAATTTCTTGTATTAACAATAAATAAACCCTGGAAACTAAATTTCTTAACATTTCTTCAATTCAATATTTATTGATTCAGCAGGTATCAAATGTGTCATAATGTGTCAATTTTTTCGACATAAAAATATATTAAATTATCAGGGTTGCCACAGGTCAGGATATTCAGGGAAAAATTAAATTAAAATTAAACAAAATTTTAGGATTCATAAGAAAATTCTGATACAAAACCTATAATTTTTTCTATTTCTGATTATTTCTTTTTAAATAATTTCATTCTTGAAGAACTATCATTAAATTATTACTTAGAAATTATTAAATGAATAATTTCACTTTTCAACATTTCAAAGTTAACCTTAGAAAGAGTATCTGGGGTGTCTGGACACCCCAGTTACACCCTAACGTTACAAATAATAATATATGATTAAAATGAGTAAATTTAAAGTTTTTCAAAAAAATCGTTTTCAATCAGTTAAAATTATCTCATAAAGTATAACTTCATAGGTTTTGCATGAAAAAGTTGTATTTTGTAAAAAAGAAACATTTTTATACAAAAATTCTATTTTGATGTAAAATATAGACATTCTGTAGGATTTGTTACTATACTAATGAATATGAAATTTGAGTTAAGGTTTATTAAAAATTTCTTTGCTCTCTCTACAGTCAGAGATTAAATTCTAAAACAAAAAAATGTGGTAAATGACAGACAAATTTAAATTATAAATTTTATATTGTTAATAATGTTTTAACACATATTAGATGTATTTAAAATTGTTAATTAAAACTTTGATTAAATATTAATTTACAGAATCACTTCATAAGTTATAGAATTTATTGTTATTATATTCAGATATATTAAGTGTGTAAAATTTTAAATTTATAACACCATTTTTAATAAATATTAATTGTTAAAGTCCATTTTAATGAATTATTAGAAATAATTGATTTATAGAAGAATTTTCGTTAAAAACATTTTAAAAAATTGAATTTTGGAGAAGTTACAAATGATTACAGAAAATCAATTATGTTTACAAATTAAAAAAAAATGTTTGTCAAAATTTCAATTACACTCGAACGCCGGTTTAGCGGACTGTCGGGGGGGAGTCGTCCATTAAAGCGAACAATACCTGTCACAAGTCAGGACAATAAGAAAATCGAAAATCAAAACACAAAAATTCCGCTAAAACGGTGTCCGCTAAACCGGCGTTCCAGTGTATCTTTATGTATCTATAATAAAATTCTTCTCCAAAAAATAAACATTCAATTATGTTCAAAATTTTTTTAAATTTTCGTCAAAATTTCATTTATTTGTAAAAGTAATAAAATTCTTTGCAGAAATTAAATTATTTTCGAAAGAATACAATTATTTTCATAAATAATATAACATTCTTCGTGAGAATTGAATTATTGTTATAAATAGTAAAAATTTTTTTCAAAAATTCAATTATTTTTAAACAAAATTTTAATAAAATTTAACGAACAAACACAATTATTTTCTAAAATTTTAATAAATCCTTCAAAACAATTTAATTTTATTTATAAATAGTAAAGTTTTTTGCAAAAATTCAATTATATTCATAACAATTTCACGAAAGAATTCAATTCAATTCGAAAAAATTGAATTATTTTCTAAAATTTTAATAAAGCCTTCGAAACAATTCAATTTTATTTATAAATAGTAAAGTTCTTTGCAAAAATTGAATTATATTCATACTAATTTCACGAAAGAATTCAATTTTTTTCTTAATACGTCATAAATAATTTCAACACAGAGTTCAATTATTTTCTAAAATTTTAATAAATTCTTGGAAAAGATTCAATTATATTTATAAATAGTATAATTCTTTGTAAAAATTCAATTGTTTTTAATACAATTTTAAAAAAATTTCATGAAAGAATTCAATTTTAAAAAAATTTTTAATAATATTTTTCGAAAAAAATTCAATTATTTTCTAAAATTCTAATAAATTATTCAATTTTTATAAAATTTCAGTTATAAAATTTTTCAAAGGAATACAATTATTTTCTAAAAATTTTAATAAAATTCAATAATTAAATATTATTAATTGTTTCAATTATAGAATTAAAAAATTTTCAAAATTTTTAAATAAACTCCATTATTTAAAACAAAATTCAAAGACAATTCTTTAAAAAGAATTTAATTAGAATTTTCAAAAATTTTAACATAATTCTCAAATTGTAGAAAATAATAATTGAATTTAAATGATGAAAATAATTTTGAAGTAGTTACAGTAACAATATTCTTATATAGAAAAATAATTTTCACTCAGTCATTTTTAATTATTATAAAGCATGAAGATGTCGATTACTCCGAGTCTTCAAAAAGGTTTGAATTTGAAATTTTTTGAAAATCTTAATTCCTATGGAAAAATAATAGTGTTTAAATATTTATTTGAAATATAATTATATTGATGTTTTCGAATAGTTTTACAATTAAAGAAATTCGTAAATAAATGGAATGGAACATTTTTTTTAGTATTTAATAATGTGTAGAGTGAATCAAAATAATTATTCTGTACGATGAGGGAAAAAGTCAAAATTTTGTCTGGAAGTCAGAGCAAAGTCAGGGAAAAACAAAATTAAATTTTTGTGGCAACCCTGAATATAAACTGATCAGGGATTTATTGTCTTAGGTTATTGAACTGATTAGGGAATTATTGTCTTATAGGTATAATAGCAAGCAAATTATATTTGAAGAATATTTCGACAAGCTTTTTTCGATTTACAGCCTCTCATATGGTCCAGCAGCTTTGTTCCGAGAATTTTTAAAGAAATATGTGCCCGCAAGCGGTAGCAAGAACTTAGCGGAAAGGAAATGAAGGGACGTCGTCTGTGCCAAAGAATGGTCAACTTTATGCATTGTTCTTTTCGCTCGTGAATATATATGTGGTGTATGTTCTTGTGAGGACCCTCATCATCAAAAAAAAAAAAAAATAAAAGAAGGTACGTGTTATGCGAAATACATGCAACGTGCAATGCCTTACTGGTTTGTGAAACTAAAACTCCGCCCTCCGTTGTGACCGCCACACGCTTTACTTTTATCGTTATTTTTTTCTCCTCATTTCAAGACCCAAATTTTAAAGGAACTTTTAAGCTTCGCGAGACAAATTAATTCCAAATTTATTCTCTTAGCCCACCAAATAGTAAATTTTGTTTTCTGTATTTACGCGGGAATTTTCTGTTTACTTCGTAATTTCAATAATTACGTTTCGTTCCTTTTCAATTTTGAAAATTCGGAAATTATTAGATTCCAAATTTATACTCGTAACCCACCAAATAGTAAATTTTGTTTTCTGTATTTACGCGGGAATTTTCTGTTCACTTCGTATTTTCAATAATTACGTTTCATTCTTTTTCAATTTTTGAAATTGGAAAATTATTAGAAATCGAATTTTTAAAATTACCATAGACGTACTTTTTCAATTTTGAAAATTGGGAAATTATTAGAAATCGAATTTTGAAAATTACCATAGACGTGCTTTTTCAATTTTGAAAATTGGGAAATTATTAGAAATCAAATTTTGAAAATTACCATTTTTTTCTTATCAATTTCTTAGTAGACCCTTCTGTATTTTTGATAGATTATCTCAAAAAAAGAAAAAAATGGTGTAACAGGGCAGCTTACGAGAAAAAAAGGTCAATGATGTTTCCTAAGACGGTAAAGAATTTAAGTCCTTTGTATAACCATTCAGAAAAGTAGTTCTTGTTACAGATTAAGATTTTCTGGATGAAGTAGCTTATTTCAAATTTGATTAAAACTAAAATTTCTTTTTCTATCTATATGTATAATATTAGAATAGAATATTTAGAAATTCATAGAAAAAAAACTGTTATTCTAAAAACACTGATTTAAAAATAGAAAATCACTCAATTGTTCTTAATTTATACAGAACAGGTTTTCCCATGATAGTCTTCTTCTTCTTCTTCTTCTTCTTCTTCTTTATCATCTTTTATTATTATACCTATATCAGTTTTGAAAATTGAAAAAATTGAAAAATTTTACTCCTCGCATATAAAGAATAAGTACTTACAGATAAATCGAACGCCATCACCCTCGCGGTCTTTATATATTATGTAGTAAACTATTGGTAGTGTGAAGCTCAATAGTGAAACGAGAGATGTAACCGAATCTGTGTCATAAAACGGTAATGGGGCGTCGCGTTTCCTTTTCCTAGGGCCTTATACATCAAGGAGGGAGAGGGAGAAAAAGTGAAAAAAGGACCCTTGACGCGTAAGGCGTTAGGGTATTTTGCAAAAAGGGCCCAATCTTTCCTTCAATTTATAATAGACTTCTCAAGGCAAATCAGATTTTCAGGAGTCTTGAACTTGAAAAAAAATTCCTTTTTTTAATTCAATATTTCGAGAGTAGAAAATAACTTATTTTAACAAATTTACGACTTTTTCGACTTTTCTTCCAAACATTGCAACAAAATACAACAATGTTTAGTAAAAAAGTGCAACTTATTTTGATTTTTATAATGTGAAAAATAACTATAAATAAATCTTTCAAAAAATGTTTATGAACATTTTTTAACATAATTAAATTTTTCAAAATTTATTTATTTTATTTACAAGTTTTGAAAATCAATTTTTGAAGAATTTTAATTGCAACTTTTGAAAATAATTGAAATATCAAAAATTTTGATGAAAAATCTTTAAAGGTAAATTGAACATACATATTACATATTACATACATATTTCCAAAAATTCAAATACATACAAAAATAATAACATTTTGGAGAAAACAATAATGTTCAAAATTTTTAATTAAAATTCATCAAAAAATTAATTAGTTTTTTTAATTTATACAAAAATTCTTTTAAAAAATTCAATTATTTTCGAAAAATTACATTAAAATATTTTTAAAAACTAATTATTATAATTGTTTTATAATAATTTTTTAAGATTCAATTATCTTCTAACAATGTGAATAAAAATTGATGAAAATTTACTTTTTGGACTTATTAAAATTTTTAAAAAATCATGGTCCTGTTTATAATTAAAATTCTTCAAAAATTTGATCATTTTTATTTATATTTTTCAAAAATTCAATTATTTTTAAAAGATTTTACCAAATTTTAATTGTTTGGAAATTTTTCAAAATTAAAAAACTATTAACTTTCAAAAATTATTTAAAAATAACTTAAGAAAAATCTATGATTGAGAGTCACAATTATTATAAAAAATTGAGGTTTTGTATTTAAATAATTGAATTCTCGAAGAACTTTTGGAAAATTATTTAAATTAATTGATTCAGAGATGAAGTTTAGTTGAAAATTGTAGAAAATAATTGAATTCAGGAAGGGTTATAATTGTAATTTTTAGAAATCATTAAAATTCATAAAAAGAATTTTGTCAGGGAAAATAATTTTAATGTCAGTAAATTGGCAGAGAAATGTCAGGGAAATTGATAAACTGAAACTTGTGACCACCCTGGTTTATAATAGCAACGATTTAGAAGAATTGAGGCCTTGGATCCAATAACTCGCCCGACGCTCGGAGGAACGCGCAACTGCCAGTCAGTGAGCAGTGAGCGCCTCTGGGCCACTCACTGCTACCCGACTGGTATTAGCGCGTGCCTTCGAGCGTCGGGCGAGTTATTGGATCCAAGGCCTCAATTGAATTCTTGCGAAGAATTTTTATTAAAATTTTTGAAATTAATAAACAAGAATAATTACAATGAAAAGACGTTTTTAAATTAAAGTATTAATTAAATTCATAAAAAGAATTAATTGAAAAATTAAAAAATATATTTACTAATAGAACTTAAAAATTATCTCCCTTCAATAAATTTGTTTCGAGACAAAAGCTGACAGTAAATAAATTTTTGCCTCTTTTAAATATTACACTGAATTGACTATTTCTTTTCGCAAAAATTATTATGACACAATGATGAATTTAATTTTTGAGCAAAGGTCCTTCACTGTTATATAGTCAGGAGTCTCGGTGTAGCCATAACATCGCTCGGAAGCTGTATTCGTTTTTTATTTTTTTCCATTTACATACACACACGCACGATATTATGTACATGTATATATAAGCGAGAAATTTCTATACCAATACAATAAAAGTTTATAATTGACTGAAACAAAAATTAAAACTATAGATATGCCAAAAGCAACATCTCCTGGAAATCTGATTAGAATTCATAATTAATGTTTTATTTTCATAATTCTCCTATCAGTGAATCGTGCTTTTTTGCTCGTCAACTATTCTTTCCCTTCTCGAGGTGCTTATTTAACCTACTTGTAAATAATTTGCTATATACTCTGAGAAAATATTTCGTTATGGTACTTATCTGAAGAAAAATTCCAATCTTCTGCGTCAAATTTGCCAAAAATTACGGCAAGAAAATTGTTGACATTTTTTTATTTTCTTTTTTTCTAAACGAAAAAGTAAATTTATTTTATTAAATTATATATTTAAATAATACCTAACATTTATAATATTAAATATATATTAATAATATCATTATAATTATAATTTGATAAATATTGTCCAACTTTTTTTCAGGTGCTGTATAAAGTTTTTCACTATCAAAGTCTATTATAGAGATATTTTACAGAAAAAAGGATTGCTAATAGGGCTGTAAAAAATTATTTGTTTGAGCAAATAAAGGAGGAAGTTTTCAACGCATGTTTCCATCTTGTTAATCTCCAATGATAATTCTTGACTGATTAGGATTTTAAGAAGCTGCAATCTTATCGTGATTCGCTCACCAGAGCGTTATGTCCATTAACAGCTGAACACGCGTCTTATATTATCTAATGTGTTCTCTTAACACATTTTTTTGTCGATATTAATACACGGGGTTAATAATACCCGGATGATCATTTGTAAACAATAGGTTCTAACTTTACAAAAGGATTCTCGTTCATTATAACGAGACTCAGCATCGCTCTTCTTAGATTATTATTATACAAGTGAGATAATTTGATACCCAACATCTAAAGATTACTCTCTATCAAAAACATGACATTGGTTCAAGTTGAAAAATTCAACCCGTATTTAAATATTATTTTTTATTTTTATAGTCTATTCCTGTTATTAAATTATTTATTATTATTTATTTGTTTGGATAAATTTAACCCGTATTTAAATAGAATTTTTTATTTTTCGAGTCGAAATTAATTTACTCCTTTTTAATTTTATTTAAGTTAATTTTAAATTTTGATATTTTATTGTTTATAGTCTCTTCCTGTTATTTAATTATTTATCATTTATTTGTTTGTATAAATTTGACTCGTAATTAAATAGTATTTTTTATTTTTCGAGTCGAAATTAATTTACTCTTTTCTTTTAATTTGATTTAATTTAATTTTAAATTTTGATATTTTATTGTTTATAATCTATTCCTGTTATTTAATTATTATTTATTTGTTTAGAAAAATTAACCCGTATTTAAAGAAGTATTTATTTTTATTTTTCGAGTCAAAATTAATTTGCCCAATTTATTTTTTTTGTATTTTATAAATTTTAATATTAATTTTATTGTTTATATTGTATTTCTGTTATTTACTATTATTTATTTATAGAAACAAAATTTGATTATTTTTATTTTTCCATTTCATGAAAAATAGAAACTATTTTCAATTTATTTCAAATTTGAACAAATAAGAAAGTAATAAAAAAAATAGCAAAAGAATAATAAAAGATGAAAAATAGTAAAAAGAAAGACTTTTTCAATCTAATAAATTTGCTTGTTAGGAAATAATTCGGTTTAGAAAGGGGAAAAAATACAATATTGGTGTAAACATCTGGGGGCTTGTGTGAGTTTTTCACGTTTTAAAAATGAAGACATAATGACTGTCTATTTCCTGGCCAGAGAATGATTTTCATGACAATAAGTTCAATGGTCCCAAATAGGTTTTCGCTTGTGATTTAGTATACTGATTTTTCTCGAGTTAATGGCCGAGAATTGTGGAAAAAGGAAACAAGATACTTCACATGTTTAAAGTAACACTTGTTGTTCCTCGTATGGCGAAGAAACCCCCCGTCGCTACACGTGCCTTCCATTCGCCGCATTATTCCATTTTCTAAAGTGAAAATAATTTTTTTTCCATTTTCGTCGAGATTTAAATTTACATTGAGAAAGAAGTTAGGAATTTTTCTTAACTTGCATTAAATAAATGCAAATTTTTCGATTTTGAATCTTTTTTCCCTTTCTCAAAACAAACCCAAATGTTCTCAACTATAAAAAAAAAAATTGTAATCCAAATTCCAAACCCTTGAAAAACCCTATTTAGGAAATTTTATTTCTTGAAAAAAATAAATTCTCAAGGTAAAAGAAAATTTCCCAAATTCTAAAAAAGTTAACTATTAGAGACATTTTTTTAAATTATCTCAATTTTTGAATTTCGAAAGAGAAAAAGAGAATTAAAAATGTACTCACGATCTTGTTTGTGGCGTACGATCACGTTGTCGTCGATTTTTAAACCAGTTGGACACCTGAGTTAATGTGAGTCCTGTTTTCTTCGATAGTGTCTTCTTTTCGTCGGGTGTTGGATATCTATTTTTCTGATAACATTCTTTGAGAGCATTTCTAGAGCGCTCCTTGAAGCAATAGACTGTTTCCTCGCCATCCCAAATGGTATGCGGTAAGGGATGCTTTTTTCTCAATCTGTATTTGTCAACTGCTCCTAATTTTCTCGCTCGAACTTTTTCCGCTTCCAGGTAGTGGGCTTTGTACCACATTTGCTGAAGCTCCGGGTGGTATTCGGGAGAAAATTTATTCCTCTCGAGAATATTGTAAACATCAGTGAACGCATGATTGTGAAATGCGACATAAGCTTTTGCCATTAATACACTCTCGCCACGAGCTAATTGATATGGTTGCAGTGTGTACAGAAACCTGGACAAGAACATTTTTTCATTTTTTATCCCTTTTTTATTCTTCTCAAATTTATTTCACAAAATCTTTTTAACTCTTTCTGTTCCATTCCTTTTTTTTAAATTTTAATTTAATTGAAATTAATGAACAAAAAGTTTTGAACGTTCAAATTTCATAGATTATTGATTACAATTCAAATTAAAAACTCAAATTTTACATTTAGAAACATTATAATTAATTTGCTTAATAGTCACGCAAAATTATAGTAATAAAAATTTAATTTGAAGAAGAAATAAATAAATTTCGTTCATTTGAACGTTCAAAACTTTAACCTCCTTGAAATTAAACATTTTTTAATTGTGTATCGAGAATATGCAAATTTAAAATATTGAGAATTTTAAATAAATATTCAGTGTCGACACATTTTTTTCTATATTTAAAAAACAAAAAAAAAGAGAAGCGAAAGATTTTCTCACACTTTTATTAGTCACGAGTGCAATTGTCGCCGTTGACGATTAATAATTTCGCAATGATCATCGAAAATTTTGTTTCAAATCATTTTTAGTGGTTTAATTTTTATTTCGATAAATAAAATCAGCGTTCTCGAATATTTTTAGAATTGAATAAAATTGTATCAATATTACAAATAATTGTTTAGTTCTTACAGAACATAATTGAATTACTTTGTTGCTTAACAGTTCGAATCGTGTTTTTTTTTCTTTTCAATAAATTTCAAAACGCAAAGAAAAAATTCTAAAATTAAAAATTTCACAATTTTTTCATTTCTAATTCTAAATTAGGAAGCACTGTATCCAAATAGTTTTATACAAAAGAAAACCCAAAGTGAAATGAAAGTGCAATAAATGAAAATTCCTTTTTTGAAAAAATTTAAAAGCTGTTTTTTTATACTGAAAAAATTTGATTCTTTGCTTATTAATTAAATTATATTTCATAATTCTACGCGGAGAGAAAATAAATATTAAATTTTGCAAAAGTATTTTTAAATTTGGGGAGAAAATGCGACAAAGCGAAATTATTAAATTAGAATATTAATTAATTAGACTATTAAATTATAGTAATTATTTAACCACAGGTCATTAAAAGCAAAAGAGAGAAAGAGAGAATAGTTATTTATTGTAGAATTTTTCAACTATAAATTTTCATTCCAGACTGAAGAATAACTCACCTTTCGAGATTCGCCATGTCCTTCTTTTGGACCATACTTTTGCAGAGGCAAATAATTTGTTCCTCGGAGAAACTGGAACCGTTGCTATTGCCACCGAGAGCGATGGAACCGGAATTGGCTAAATTTGTTGTCAGACTGACGGCGTTACAAAGTTCCTGTGGATATCGCGGACTACCATTCGAGGAGGGATTCAAATTTTGCGAATGTGAATGATGTGTCATCGCAGAATTACTGTAGGGACCAATCGAGCACAGGCTGCGATGTACCATTCCCATTTGACTATTACAGTCACTATTTGGCGATGATAATTGCTCTGAACAGTCAGACATAATTGGATCAACCCAATTCTTCAACGCCTTGGTTCAACCAGGTATGATCACTTTGCATTACTTGATTTTAAAGAAAAAGAAACTTCTCTCTCCTTCTCTCTCTATGTTTTGATTCGAAAAATACAACCGCATAATCGGTTGCTGTCATTTAGTTCCATTCAAACACTTTTAATAACACATATTTCATTCATAATTTTTTTTCTTCATCACTATTTTTACCGGAAACGTTCAATGTCAATTGACAATTTACGATCGATTTTTATAATTTACTTTTTTTCGCCAATGAAACGTTTTTAAATTCTCTAAATTTAATAATTCTCTAATTCTCTAATTTTAAATAAATAACAAATTTTGTTCAGCTTTTTAAATTAATTTACTTGTTTTCGATCGAATCACTGCACTTTACACCCACACAATCACTTTATTAATAAAAATTCCTCCCTGGAAAAATAGAAATATCCAAAGAGGAGAAAAACAAAATTCCGAATCCAGAGGGATGAAAGAATGCTGCACTGTAAATCACTTATTTTTAATTGTTGAAAATTTCGAAAGAAGGAGGGACTGGGTTAATATTGATTTTTTGTATTAGATAATTGATAATTAAATTGTCAGATTTTTACATTGATTTTGGAGTACGATTTTAGTGTTTGCAAGTGACCAAGTCAACAAGTCAGTCAACCTCTCGTAATGAAACGTTGAAGCGTTGTGGTTCTATGTTTTTTTTTTTGGTTCACGTTGCTTCCACCACGTCCGGATCTGGTCTGGGATTTGCTGATTGGTTGTGAGGCGGTAAATGTGAACGCAGGATTGGTTAAACATGAGGGGAGGTACAACCCCCTGTCGTGGAACAGAGTTTACACCAGGAGGCAGTAGATGTTCCTGGCTGTCTGATCATCACCTGACAACACGTATTTTCCGAATCAATGGAATAAAAAAAGGCACTTTTTATTTTTCTACAATTAGGATGACATCACGTTGAATTAATCTTATCATTTAGTCGAGACTTTTCTTTATAATTATCAATCAGTCTTCTGTTTTAGGATTTTTCTATTTTATTCTATTCTCTTCTATTTTATTTTATTTTATTCTATTTTCTATTTAAAAGAAATTTATCTCTTTTATGTCTTTAATTTTTTCCTTTATAAAGCAATTAAATATATAGAGGAGAAAAATTTCTAATATCTTAATTTCGATTGGGATTTAAGTTTAGAGGAAAGAATATAATTTTTTTATTGTTATTCTTGGCTGACACTTTAGAAATTCTTTTAAATTCTCCCAGAATTTTAAATACTTCCATATTTTAAGATTATTTTTCTATAGAATCTGTAGGAATTTTTGTGTGCAATATTGTTAGTTTCCATATGGAATTTTAAAGAATAGTTTCTAAAAAATCTTCTAGTTTGGAAATATTCTTCTATAAAAATTTACAACATTTGTTGTAATAAACATTTTATTATCCGTTAAATATTCTTTATTGTGAATATATTTCGGAAATATTTCAAATGACATTTTTCAAGGATTATTCAATATTTGTGGACGTCCGCATGAAAAGGGACCACTTTGATGGTTCTATAGATTCGGAGATAATCGCAATTTACTAATTTTGGAAAAAAGTATCGAAACTTTTTTATTCTTTTTTCTCAATCTACAGGGTCTCACGCGTCGAATCATGCATTTTTCATTAATTTATTGATACTTTAAGTATTTTATTTCGTTGTTAGACAAAAAAATGAAAAGGTACCACTTTGTCAATCTGTTGCAAAAGTTGTTTCTGTTTCAAAATGGAGGGGGCGGAAAATTTCAAAACCTTTTGATTTTTCATCTTAAAGGTGTATACTAGACTAAAAACAATTCTTATCTGAATAACTTTCTAGAAGATCCAAAAATATTCGCATTACAATCTTTGATTTCGATTTTCTCGAAATGAGATTTTTTTACATTCTGTCTCATCGAATTTTTCACCAAAAAGGTTCTAAGACCACTCAAAATTTTCCAAATTTTCAAAGGAATTCGCCCATATAGATAACTCCAATAGTGCCAAAGTGATCCCTTTTCACGTGGACGTCCACATTTGAGAACTTTAATTAAATAAATTTAAATTTTCATTTTTCTGGCAGAATTTTTAAAAATTTCGCTATTTTGAAAATAATTGAGGGTTGCCGCAGATCAGGGAATTTTATTAAAATTACTGGAAAAAATTAAATTTTTAGAATTCATAAGAAAATTCTGAATTTTTAGTTTGTCTCATCATTTTTGAAAAATTTTAGTAATTCAAATTCTTCTGAAATTAGTTCAATTTTTAATATAATATATTTAATTAATTATTAAAAATAATGGATTTATAGAAAAATTAATTATTAGTTAAAAACACTAAAAAAAAATTGGATTTTAGAGAAGTTACAAACATTTGAAGAAATTCAATTATTTTCAAAAGTAATAAAATTCTTCTTACAAAGTTCAATTATGTTCAAAAATTTTTAAAAAGTCTCGTCAAAATTTAAATTTTTTTTATAAATAATAAAATTCTTCGAAATTTAATTATTATTTTCAAAAATTTTAATAAAATTCTTGTCAAAATTTCAATTATTTTCAAAAATTTTCGTCAATTCAATGATTTTCAATATCTACTATTTTAATAAAGTTTTCTAAAAGAATTAATTATTTAAAAAAAGTATTAATAAAATTCTACGAAAACATTTAATTATTTTCAATAGAATCTTAATCGAATTTCTCGAAAAATGTAATTATTTTCTTAAAAATTTTATTAAAATTCGTCAAAAGAATTCAATCATATTTAAAAATTTGTTGATAAAATTCTTTATGAGAATTAAATTTTAAGAAACATTCAATTAGGTTCAATAAGTTATTAATTTTTGTATTTAAATAATTGAATTCTCGTAGAAGTTTTTTATAAAAATTGACTTAAAAATGAATTTTAGTTAAAATTTTAGATAATAATTGAATATTGAAAGCATAGCATGAATGTTTAGAAATAATTTAATTTTGAAAAGGATTCAAATTAAAATCTTTCAATATTTAAATTTTTCATACTTTTAACTAACTAACTAACTTTTTCAACGATTATTAAAATGAATAGATTCAAAGAAGAATTTTAGTTAAAAATTCTAAAAAATAATAATTGAATTTAAATGATGAAAATAATTTTGAAGAAGTTACAGTAACAATAATATTCTTATAATATAAAATAATGATTTTATCAGTCGATCATCTTTAATTATTTAGAAAACACGAAGGAATTTTTTCATGTTTTGTAATAATATTCTTATAGGTTGTTGAATTTAAAAAGGTTTTGAATAATTTGTAATTTTTAAAATCCTAATTCCTATGGAAAAATAATAATGATTAAATATTTATTTAAAAAAGAAGTAGTTATTGAAGTGTTCAAATAGTTTGTAGATATTTTATAGGTAAATTCGCAATTAGTGAAATCATTAAATTTTTGGAAATTTTTGAAAAAAGAATTTATTTTTCCGAAAAGAATCGCGACGAATGGAATATATTCATGAGGGACTCTCAACACCAGATGTTTTTGATTTTCATCTCTATCGCTATATAGTTTGTTTGACATTTCTTTAACTAATTCCCGAACATATTTTTCTTGTCGACTAATGATATCTTGTAATCGAAGCATGACACTTGCGGTCTGAATTTTGTCTTCATGTGTGGCCTCGAAGTGCATCGTTCATCGCTACCACACAGTAGTTTGTGCATTGGTTCCACGCAGCGACCAATAAACACCGGAAACGGAACGCGTCAACGTTATCGTACACCATATTATGATTCTCTTCAATATGTTGTTATCACACCTTCAAGAGTTTTACTAATTCCCCAACACATTTTTCTTCTTTTTTTAAATAATAAACCTTTGCAATATTAAAATCTTAAATATTTTCAGAAATAATATCTGTGGAATTATTTCTAATTTCCAACTGAGAAATCTATAGACTTTTGTGAATATTTTTTCAACAATTGTGTTAACATATACGATATACAAAAAATATTTGTAAAAGTGGAAATTAATTTGTGAATATATTTTAATGTAGGGAGTGGATTTTCTTTGCTGCCTTCGAATTATTTGTTGTTTTGTAATTTTCCTGAAATAACAAGGATAGTGTAGATCAATGAAAAGCGACTCGACTTCTTGAGTGAAGATGTCTTTCTGCAGCATCCCTCAACTGTGTAGATGATTCCAAGTCTCGGCCCCGCCTTTTGACAATCCTTTGAATCTCCACTAGCCTCGCGTGACTAATTATCTTCACATGTTTTTCTCCAATTTTTCCCGATCGAGAAAAAAACATTTCTTCACTAAAAAGTGAAAACATTTTTTTGTGCGGCTAAAAAAAATTTGTTGGAAAATTGAGACTTGAATAATTTTATACATTTTTCTATGGAGAAAGGAGTTTTGTAGTGAATTGCATTGTATTTTCATGTTTTTTATTTATTTTTTTCAGGAAAAAAAATTTTTTTTAAAATTGAAAATTTTTGTTAATATTCGCCGGTGATGATTTATTTTTTGGATGCCTAGGTGAAATTGAGGGGAAGGCGATAGAAGAGCCAATGATAGAGGGGCGTCGCCGCGTTTCGCGATGGCGTCTCCTTCGATTTGGTGTCTGGTTTCCTCTGAGCCGCCATTTTCCCTCATCCTCAACCTCATCCTCCCACATACTAAGCAACGGTGTCTAGGGATTTTACTTCCTTATCAAAACGATCCTTGGATTCTTTCCTTCTTGAGAACAGTTACAACGATTCCCAGGACTCTGCCCGCTTTCTCCTTCTTCAATTTACCCTCTTATTATTTATTTCCTTTTTTCTTTCAATATATCTTCCCGGCTCCATTCTACTCTTGATATTTTACACTCGGGAAAAGAATTTTTCGCTTTTCTCAAACTAATTAGAATTTTAAAGGCGCTTAATTTATACGTTTATGTATAAGGGAATTGTTTCCCATTGCTTCCCTTTTGGTTTCATATAGAACAAAAATACAAATTTACCATTTTTGAAAATTTTATTATTGCAAACTTCAAAAATTACCTATAAAATTTTCAGTTTTATAATTTTCAAACTTTTCTGTATTTTTTTATTTTTAATTTTTTTTTATTGAAATTTTTACTAAACGTTGTTAAAAATAATGAAAACAGAAATGAGGTTTGTTTTTGGATTATTCGCGAATTTGTCTCTTGTTTATCGATGTAAACGTTAGTCCCACGAGTTAAAAGGCAGAGAGGAGTAAAGGGGATTGTATCGAGTTTCACTATACTGCGTTTAATTGCATTCCAAAATGGCTCTGTACAAACACCCTCTAGATATCTTCAACATAAATCCAAATAAATTAAAAGCAGATTTCATAGATTCCAATATAATTCCTCATCGAGATTGTCAACCTTACTTGTGTGTATAATCTTCAAACAATTCTTTCTCCTACTTTGAATATTATTTTTCACTCACAAATATATACATTTTAAAGTGTCGAAAAAAGGCAAATTTCATTTTTTTCAAATATTACAATTCCAAACTTATTTGTAAAAAAAAATTATTTCTTTTCTTCTAACTATTTTTATTTGTTAACTGTTATTATGAACTAATTAATTAACTTTTTCGTAGAAGTGATTAAGATAGATTAAATTGATCATGAAAAGTGTACATATAAGAGAGAAAAATGCAGAATTTTGAACACTCATTTTTTCAATATATTATAATAATAAGTTATGCTTTTCCTTTTGCAGATAATATCGTCGATCAATCGGAAGGATGTGATAGTGATTCTCGGATTTCTGTCTCTAAGTGTCATTGCACTGGAAAATAAAATTAATATGTACCTTGACAATAAGAATAAGCCGATGACATGCGATTTCAAAGGACGGACAACGTGTTGGTGGCCGTTACAAGACACCATTGTCGTTAGAGATAGTGGTTGTTATCATCAATGCACGCGTGCGAAAAATTGTGCGAATACATCAGCCAATCAGGTATTTCCAACTTATTTAATTAACAATTTATTAAATTAACTCAAATATGGATAAATTAATATTTATTGGTATTTATTTTAATATAATAATTATTATTCGTTAAATTTTAATAAGAATATTACAGGTTCAATAAAAACTATAATATTATTCATTTAATAATCTGTTTGCAATTTCAATTTAGTTGTTTTTGTTTGCATTTTATTTCAACATTTTTTTGATATAATTTTCCTTTATAAGGTTTTGAATTTTAAAATTAATGAAATTTTAGTTTAATGCTTTGAAGATTAAAAAATACCAAAATTAAATTAAACCAAATTGTATTCAATTAAAAATATTTCTTACTTATTTCTTTAATAATTTTGACCCTGATATAATTGCGAATGCCTATATAAAGAAATTTATCTAAATTTTTCAAAATAATTTAATTTCTCCAACACTTGCTCTGAAAGGAGTACTTTTTTTGGTAGAAAAGTGTGGCGAAAGTAGAACTTTTCTCAACTGCTCTGAAGAGCGTGGCGAAAGTAATTTTTAGCGTGGCGAAAGTAAATCATGACCCAATTCTTTTTTCTTGTTCTTTGACCGAAATTTATTTTGTATCTAACTTCTTCCCCACTCAAAACATTCGTCTTTTATTATATTAATGGTGTTACGCAGTGGTCGCCTTTTAAAAATGGCTGCTCAAATGTAAACTTGATTTGAAAATGATTTTTCTCCCAATTTGGACAGTTATTGGAAAATCGGAGAAAATACAAGATATCCTGAATATTTTATCTTTCATTTGTGCGCAAGAAGTAAAAGATTTATTTAGATTTACAACGACAGGAAGTAAAATAAGAAAAAGTTAAACAAATGCGCGATACATAAAATTGCCACCAGAGGGCAGCACCTAATGGGCACATATAATTTTCTCATTTTACTTCCTGACGTCGTGTATTATATTGGATTTTCAATTTCTTGTGCACAAATGAAAGAACAAAATTTCAGGATAACTGGTATTTTTCCCTATTTCGCAATAATTATCCAAATTGGGAGAAAAATCCTTTTCAAATTATGTTTACGTTCAAGCAGCCATTTTTAAAAGGCGACCACTGTTTGAAATTGCGCAACACCGTTAAACATAAGCACACGTTAAATTAAAATTATACGAAACTCACGAAGAAACCTTTCCTCGCAAGGCGTTGGAGAAAACGTAGTGCACAACTCGTGGTGAAAGAATGATTTTTCTCGAGTGATTTGCTGCTCTCGCTACACTCGAACCGCAAACTTCACTCTCGAAAAATCACACTTTCGCCACTAGTTGTACAATGTACTATTATTCAGTTCAGCTTTATTTTCATATAATTTTCATAAAAATCGACGGGGGGGTGGGGGTGTTTTGAGATATTAAGAGTTTAACATTTCAAACAGGAATTTCTCTACGAAATAGAAAGTTCATGAAATTCTCCTTCGAATCAGTGTATAATATATTATAAATAATTAAATTTTTATATAATAAAATTTATTAAAAAATCGGTCTCCTTGCGATTGTTTTTTGGCGGTGAAACGGTTTGAAATGGAATGCCCCATATACTTTTAAAAAAATTTATTAAATTAAATATGTAGTTCAACTTTCCAATATTTTTTTTACTTTAATTATGAAAAAATTAAAATTTCTATTATCCGAACTTTCGATTATCCGACCACCTGTCTTATTGTCTAGTTATAGTTCGGATAATCGAGGTTCCACTGTAATTGAATTTCTGCGAAGAATAATATTAAAATTCTTTAAATTAATTAAATACTCTGGGAAAAATTTTTTAAATTATGAAAATTTGCAAAGAATTTTATCAAATCTTGAAAAAATAATTGTATTTTGTTGAGGAATTTTATTGAAAGTGTATTGAATATAATTAAAATCCTGCAAAGAATGTTATTAAATTTTCTGAAAACAATAAATAGTAATAATTAATTATGAAATTTGTTAATAATTTGAATTTTTGCGAAGAATTTTATTAACTTTAAAATATATTTGAATTCTTTTTTAAAATTTCCTTGAAATTGTACTAAAAATAATTGAATTCCAGCGAAGAATTTTATTAAGGGGACATTCCAGTTCAAAACAGGCAAAAAGAAGGCTTTTTTAGTATACATTATTAAAATAACTATGACATTTATTTAAAAAATTTCTTTTACATGTAATAAATAATTTATTTAAGAATTTGTAAAAAAAAAATTTTTTCATTTTTATTTCAAAATGGCGGCGATATACGCCATTTTCGAAAATGCCCATTTTCGGTGGTAAGATCGATTCCAGACTTTCTAAAATAGATAAAACCAAAAACGAAGTGAAATTCTCTTCGTTAGATAATTCTTTATGTGTGGAACCTCAAAAAAGTGAAATTTTCTTTCCCCCCCCCCCTTTTTTTAGAGTACTTTTTCCCAAAAATAAGCAAAAAAAAGGTGTTCTTATTCAGAATTTCTCTTATAAAAAAAGGTGAGTTGGAAATTTTCCAGTTTTTGAGGTTCCACTTATAGGCATGATGACGCTGAATCAAAAGCCGTTTGATTTTTTAAAATCGCTTTAGAAGAACTCGAGATATCACTCTTGCCAGATCAAAAAAGACATTTTGAGAAAAACGCATTTAAAGTTTTTGTTTACAAGTTTCGAAATTTTTTTAAAAAAATCATCGAATTTGCTTGAAAATCGTTACTCGGGGGTTTTTGAGGTCGCTAACTACGAATATAGAATCAGATTTTTAAAATTCAAAATGGCGGATCCAATATGGCGGACATTTTTTTCAAAATCATTGGATTTGCTTGAAAATCGTTACGGGGGGTTTTTGGGGTCGCTGATTACGAATATGACATCATTTTTTCAAAATTAAAAATGGCGGATGCAATATGGTAAACGAAAAAAAAAATTAAACGAAAAAGAAATTAAAATAAAAAAATTTTCTTTTCCGCCATATTGGATCCGCCATTTTGAATTTTGAAAATTTGATATCTAATTTGTGATCAGCAACACCAAATACATTTTTGTTTGTCTTTTTTAAAAAATGCAAATGAGAAAACATTTAAATCATTCGATTGCTTATCCGCATACAAAAACATCTTTGACATGGCGAAGAATAAGGATATATAACTTTTGTTTTACTTCGAATTTTGCAATAATGTTTTAGGAGAGTATTCTTGACACTATAAGAAATCCGAAAATAAAAACAAAAAAAAAATCGATTTTTTTGAAATTTTGAACTGGAATGTCCCCTTAAAGTTAAATAGATATTTAAGTAAAGTAAATAATTTTATCAAAATTTTTCAAATTAAATTTCTGCGAAGAATTTTATTAAAATTCTTTAAAATAATTAAATTTCTGCGAAAAATTATATTAAAATTTTTGAAAAATAATAATAATAATTTAATTAGACCTTCGATATTTTTTATGATTAAAAACTATATGATCGGAGAAAGGTGTGTGGAATAAAAAATGTCTTTGACTCCGATTTTCTGTTTCAATTTTCCAAAACATTTCGTTCTTGTTTGGAGAAAAAAGAAATTTTTTATTTTCCTCCCCCCGCGTTTGAATTTAGTTTGTGGAGTGATTTTTAACGAAGATGTTAGCAGTTTTTTTTTCTGGAAAAATAAAAGCATTTCAAGTGCGAGAGAACACACAAGTTGTAAATAGGAGCCGATCAGTCTTCTCGATCTCCTCTTTTTTCTTCTTCTTCTAAAAAAAGGGCTTGCAGTGATGTTGAACTTGGGCATAAAGTGGCCACTGACACATAAAGAGCATATTTTCGAGCATTAGTGGGAGAGAGCCGCTTACGGATACCATGTTGGCTACCTGTTTTTCACGCCTGTTCGGTTTTTCTCAAGAAAAAATCTCCATCCCCGATCGCGAGGATCGTGCCACTAATGGGCAAGTAACCACAGGATTAAAGAGATTATTTCCCCCAAAGCAATGCGATTGGATTTGATCTTATTGTTCGTAACAACAAAAAATCGAAAATTCTAATTTTTCGTTCTGTCAAGATAAAAATATGGGTTCTCTCTAGATTTCTTTTTCATTTCTTCATTTTATATTCTTGAATTTGAATTTTTTAAATATAGAAAAACGGGAAAAGTAATAAAAAAGAAGTTATCGAAAAATTGACAGACAAATATAGAGTTTATATTATATAACGATAACGACAAAATTGCAAATAGTGTCGTTTATTGAATTAGGAAAATTAATTGCAGAGTAGAAGGGTTTATGAATAAAGGACTTAGGAGAGGTTCCTTGTAATCTGTTACGTTACTAACAGGAAGAGCATCATAATAGGGTGAAATCACTGATTACACGGTTAGTTAGATGCGCTTCGTGATTTGAGGGTACCTGCTGTAGGCTTGCATTGAATCATTATTCAAAAAAAAGGCAAAATATTTTTTTCCCGTCTTTGAAGAATTTGTCAAATTTAAACACGACAATTTCGGAAATGGAAATGCATATATTTGATATTTCTAGATTACAAATTGTCAAATGTGAGGAAGACAAAAATAAATATCTGTATGTAATTTGATGAATACCAGACGCGAAGAATCATATTGCACAAAATGCATGTATATACGCTCTTCAGGTATATATGTATATAAATGGATTTATATAAATAACCTCATGACATTTCAGAGTCTTTTATTATTTTCAAAAAAGTTACACAATTGAAATAATAATAGAAAACAGATTTAGGGCGATTTTATTAGTCAGATTTTTTTTCATTTTTATATTAATATAATAATGCGCCTTCGAGTGTCGAATTCACATTTTGTTGGAAAATTCTTTTCATTTGCCACTGTGAATTTTGTTTATTAGACTATTGTTAGTTTTATAAATAAAAATTAAGATATTGAAGAAAGAAAATATACTTTAGGATTAAAAAACTTTTATTCGGATATACAAAATTTTTTTTTTTCGAAATTAGAAAAAATAATTTTTTTTTAAAATTTTGATTTGAACTTATAAGTTTTAACTTCAATTCGACTATATTTTAAGACCAATTCGACTTTTGTGTTGATGTAGTTGCAGTTATTGTGAATAATCTCTTCATTTCGACGATCGTAGGATATTCATTTGTCTAATTTTTTTTTGTTGGCAGAATAAACGATTCTTTTTCATCTTCACAATAGCAGTGTACAGATCCGACACCGTTCCAAATTGTGTGTGGCAACGGATTCATTTTTCTGAGTCTGATGTATTTGTCAATATTTGATAATTTTATTTTCAAAATTTCTTCCTGTTCCATATAATGGGCTGTGAACCATATTTGAGGCTCCGGATCTTAAAAGGGCACTTTCCGCATAGACTTTACATGGTGAAAGTGCCCTTTTAAGATCCGGAGCCTCATTTGCTGAAGTTCTGATTGAAATTCTGGAGAAAATTGATTTTTCTCCAGAATATTTGTAAACTGATTCGGTTGTAGTAGTAGTGTATTCAAAAAACTGGAATGAAAGATTTTTCAATTTTTAATTAATGAATCTTATTTAATTAATATTAGTAACTGTAAATCATCTTTTTTTTATATTTTTATTTTATTAATTTTGTTTTGTTTTAATTAAAATAAATTTAATGAAAATTCTTCATTTTTAAAAAAATATAATTTTTCTAACAGTTTTTCTTTAAATTTAATTATATTTGAACAACTCGTAGAAATCGCCAAGATAAATATTTCTAACTTTCGAGAACAACTGGAACAATCCTGGTATAAAAAGTTTAATTCTAAATTTTTTTTTAAATTCAATTATTTTCCAAATTTTCCATTAGAATTCTTCAAAAATACGATTATATTTCAAAATAATTTTTAAAAGTAAGCAAATAAAATTCATTAAAATGTAAAATTTATTTCAATGAAATTTCACAAAATTTTCAATTGTTTCAATTTTTTAAAATTATTTTTAGAAATACAATTAAATTATTCAAAACTTCAATACTTTTTGTTAAACAAGAATTTAAAAACTTATTCTTAATTATTTTTCCACAGAAATTAAAATTTCAATTTGAAATTTAATTATTTCTAAAAGGAGAGTAAATAAAGTTATTATTTCTAAAAATTGTAACTGTAGTTCTTCCATAATTGAATCATTTGTTTAGAATTTTTGAATAAAATTATTCAAAAAATTTTAAATGCTATTTTTCAAAAACCTAGGTAATTTTTGTCAGAATTTCCAAATTAAATCTTTCAAATTGCAATAATTTTTGTAAAATAAATATTTAAATACTTTCCCTTGTTAATAAATAAATCATTGAACTGCATACATTTCATCTCTACACGAATAATTTTTAATAATTTTATTTTTTTAATGTTTGTTTAAATATACAGTTACATTCAACACTTTTAAATTTGGTAAAATAATAACAAAAAATTGTACACAGTTAGACTCTATACAGTAGAATTATATACCGCAAAACATTATTTTATTTGTTGAACTGCATACAGGTAAATTGTATACAAGATAAAATACGATTAATTGTAGGAGTAGAGTGGGGTAAAAAAGACACATTTTTACATTTGATGCTGTAAAATCTTTATTAAAATTTTTTTTCTCAAATTTCTTGACGGAAATATTTTTTATCCCATGAAAGGACTAAGTTATAAAAGTTTTACGAAAGCACTGTAAGTGGCTTTTTTGTACCACTTGGTGGGGTGAAAAAGCCACCTCTCGATTTTAGCAAAATATGTTATTAATTTTAAAGCATATATAGATCTTTGAGTTGATTTTGATTATACGTCCTTATTTATTAGATATTTAGAATGTTGCGGAAACGATCTCCAAAAGAACATGTCAATTAAAAATTTCTCAATTTGACGTTTCGGAACTGGATCCAGTTCCCTCTTCAGAATTTTATTTTATTTTACTACATACTGAAAAAAAATATTCCTGGTTTTTTTGTTCGCAAAGAAAAACAATAATTTATAATATTATTTTATAGTTTTCTTTTATTTATATGACAAAAAATCTTATTTTAAAAATATTTTAATAAATTTTAAAGAGTTTTTAGCACAAGGAAAATTGAATACATATTTTGTGAAGTTTGTTTTCGATTTACACTGCCAATTTTTCGTACCTTTTCTAAAAGTCCTCGTTAAATTTCACGACAGATAATATATTCCATTGCAACCGTTTATTTGTTTTTTATTTCTTCGATGCACTTTGAACTATTTTTTCGTCGTGTTTAATTAATTTTATTAAGTAAACACGAGAAATTTTGTAAAATAAGAAGGTTAGTTTAAGTAGAAAACAAATGAATTTCACATAATGTTCAATGAATTTTTTGTCCCTGGCTTTCTTACCCCCAAGACCACAGCTAAAATAAAATTTAAAAGTACAATTTCCAAAAATTAACATTGTATTGTACACAGAAATTTTTTGCATAATAATATTGTTATTAAACTGTATACATTTCAACTCTACACAAATAATTTTTAATAATTTTATTTTTTTAATAATATGTTTGTTTGAATATATACCTAGTTAGATTCTATACTATATTTAATTTGATAAAATAATAACAGAAAATTCTACACAGTTAGAATTTTTTTCTATAAAGTATATTATTCTACTACAGAATCTAACTGTGTAGAATTTTTTGTTATTATTTTATCAAATTAAATAGTGTAGAATCTAACTGTATTTAAACAAACATATTGAAAAAATAAAATTATTAAAAATTATTTGTGTAGAGTTGAAATGTAGGTATACAGTTTAATAATAATATTATGCAAAAAATTTCTTTTCTTTTTAACTCTTTATTAATTAGAAAAATTTCATTTCAGATGTTGACTTACCTTTCAAGATTCGCCATGTCCTTCTTCTGGATCATAAGTTTACATAAGAAAATAATTTTGTCCTTGGAAATACAAGAAAAGTTACTATTTTCTTTTTCACCGAGGGCAAAAACTGGACTACTTGATAGCAAATTTTTCGACTGAGAATATTCAGCACTTGTCGAACTGTCCTCCGTAAAATTAATTTCTGGATCCACTTGACCATTGCCATTTCTGTTCGTCGAGATCAATATTCTGCCAAAGGTATTATGATCACTTTATTTATTTTTCTCAAACTTGATTCAATTTTCTCTCTCTCTCTCTCTCTCTCTCTCTCCATTTTTGTGTTTTTGCGTTAGAAAAACGTTTTTTTAGATTTAAATACTTCAGCGGATGTAATTTAATTATGTCTTATTGAATTTTGAATATGAACTCAAAATATATACGATTAGAGAGTTCCCGAGTGACCAAGTCAGCAAGTCAGTCAACCTCACGTATTATAATGAAGTGCTCCTGATGGTTTTATGTTTCTTTTCGTTTCACATTGCTTGCATCTCGTTCGGATCTGAACTGGGATTTGTTGATTATAGTTATGAGACAAGAAATTTTAATGCATAGGCTACTTAATACAATAAGGAGAGATAGAATCCTTTGCCGCGAAATCGATCATTATTTGTCCATCTTCTTTCTCGTATTATTATCTCATATGTAATTTCAATTTTCATTTAAATTTAAAATAAATGTTACACGTATGAATAGAATTCATTGTCGAAAAAATTGTCTGAAAATTAATAACAAAAAAGAAGAAAAATGACCAAAACACCGCAGTTTTCTTCTTTTTTGTTATCAATTTTCAGATAATTTAGATGCGTATAAAATTTGACAAAATTATCAACTTGAATCAAAATGTATGTAATTGGAATCAATTCAATTTTCAACTTGATTAATTGTGGGAAATATGAATTTAACTTTCGTGAATGAATTGCAACAATTGCAAACAATATTTAACAAAATTATCACCTTTAATCAAAATATACCTATATGTAATTGGAATTAATTTAATTTTCAATTAGATAAATATTGTGGGAAAAATGAATTTAACTTTCGCGAAAGAATTGCAACAAATCGTATAATTTTCTATACAAGAAAAATTTTTCTTGTCTAAAATTTAGAACGCTTTCCTTATTTAAATAAATGAATAATTATGAATATTGTTTGGAATTTGTAAATTAAAATTTCTTTTTGCATGCAATTAATTCAAGACAAAATTTCGCGTAATTGGATGAAAATGTTTTTTTTTCTTTTTTGAAATAATAACAGGACTTTTTTGAGTATAAGTGTTAAGATTTATGGTGACAGTTAATTAGCGAAGGGGGTTGAAAATATGAACATATGTAAACTTGAAGGTGCGAAGGGAAACCCCGACGTTACAAGTAGATAGATGACAGGCGATATGAATGTGTCGCCAATTATGACGTTGCAACGATCTCTGATAGATATAATATATAGCGATTTTGAGGGTAAATTTTTGTGATTTAGGTTTTCGCTTATTAATTCACGCAAGACTATTAGTTTGAATCTGCCAAACAATCAAGGATGAATTTCGTTATTTTCGTATCTTTACATCTTCGTATTAGTTTTTTGAAAAAAGATACAACAAATATTACAAAATCTTTTTTTTTTATAATAAGTTTCGATGACTTTAGAATTCGAAATAAATGAAGCTCATAAAAGGCGCAAATTCTACTTATTTCTCTTATCGTGAATAGTTTCTGTGTCAGGTGAGTTTTGTGGGAAAATAAATGAAGTGACAGTTTCTGCGCTGTGATCAAGTTTCGCTGACACCAAAAAAAAAGAAAAAAAGATCCTCATAATTTATCTGCAGGTATCTGTATGTAGACTTATGTGACCTAAAGCAAGATCATCAATCTGTTAGAATTTTTGCTTTTTTCAATTCCTACGTTATTTTTTCTATAGGAGAAAAATTATTATTTTTCAGAAAGTAGTTTGATTTAATAATTTTATTAATTTAAATTTAATAATCATTATTTTTCGAAATCTCATAATTATTATAGGAAAGTAAAAAATATTTTAGAATGTTGGGAAAACGTAGGTATATAATTGAAAAGATGACAAGTACATGTGTAAATTTTTTTTAGGGAAAAAGAAAAAAAAACTCCCACATTCGAATGGTGTTGCAAGGCTTGACGTTTTAGAGTGATTTCCATCGTCATTTGGACAATATGTTCCGGATCCTTAATAATAACGACAGTAAGCAGCATTAAGGGTATTACAAAACGCGCGACACTTGAATGCATGTCGAAGGGTCGGACTCTTCAAAAGAGCATCTGAACACGAGAGAGCTCAACGTTATTATGAACTCTCACCCCTGTCGCTTTCTTCTCGTCTCTCTCTCGCACCTTTACTCGGTACAACCACAATTGACAATTCTACCACCTAACTCTATAAAGCCTTCTTTCACATAAAACCCCCTCTCTTCGCACCCTTCTGAAAATCTGAGAAGTATTGTATGTTTACATGTATACTTACGTATATATAGTCGAGTGTTTAGCTCGTAATGTAGCCAAGATTTCGAGGGGGTCATTTTTGTCACTAGAATAATGCAATTTCTAAAATACGTTTTGTCTCTTCCCTTGTGATATATATAATTGTTAATTTTTTTTCTTCTTATGCATTTAGAGGGGGAACAATTCTTTTTCAAATTGTTTTATATTAAAGAATAATTTCAGGGTCGCTACGCAACCTGGAAAACCTGGAAATGTCAGGGGTTTTGATCGAAATTCTGGAAAATTGTTGTTTTTTAAAGTTATTGTGTTTATTCTTCAAATCTAATTTCACTTAAATATTTGAAAATTAATTCAATTTTAAGAGAATTGATGAGTTTACAATTTTCATAAGTAGATGAACTTCAAAAGATTTTTATTTAAAATTTTGTAAAATTTCAATTTTATAGGAGTTTAATTAGAAATATAAAAAAAACTTGGTTATAAAAAAAGTTTTTTTAAATTAAAATTCTACTAAAATTAGTTAAATTTTTATATATATATATATATATATATATATATTTAACTAGTTTTATTAAAAATAATGGATTTATAGAAGAATTTTAGTTAAAAAAAAACTCTCAAACAAATTGAATTTTGAAGCAATTACAAATGATGGCAGAAATTCAATTATTTTCAAAAGTAGTAAAAATTGTTCTCAGAAATTCAATTATTTTCAAAAATTTTAATAAAATTCTTGGCAAAATTTTTATTATTTTCAAAAACTTTCCTCAATTCAATGATTTTTAATATCTATACTACTTTAATAAAAATTCCTAAGAAAATTCAATTAGTTAAGAAAAATTGTAATACAATTCTACACAAACATTTAATTATTTTCATAAATAATGAAAATTTCACAGGAATCCAATTATTTACAAATTATTTTCATAAATAATAAAACTCTATGCTGAATTTCAATTATTTTAAATAAAATTTTAATGAAATTCCTCGAAAAAAGTTATTATTCTTAAAAATTGTATTAAAATTTATCAACGAAATTTAATTATTTTAATAACCTTTGCTACAATTTATTTATTAGCATTTAAGTATTATTTTCAATACATTTTTAATTATATTTCTTTAAAGAATAAAATTATTTTCAAAAATTTTAATTAAATTTAAAAATCATTTTAATAAAATTTGTCACAGAAATTCCATTATGTTTAAAAATTAACAAAAATTTTCATCAAAATTTCAACTATATCTTTATAAATAATGAAATTTTTCTCCGAAATCCAATTATTTTTAAAACTTTTAATCAAATTCTTGGCTGAATTTCAATTATTTTTAATAAAATTTTCATCAAATTTCTCGAAAATTGCAATTATTCTTAAAAATTTTATTAAAATTTGTCATGAGAACTCAATTATTTAAAAATATGTTGATAAAATTCTTTATAAAAATTCAATTTTAAGAAACATTCAATTGTTTAATAAAATATTTATTTTTATATAGTTAAATAATTGAATTATCGTATAGAAAATTTTCTAATAAATATTGATTTAAAAGTGAATTTCAAATGAAAATCTTTGAAAATTTGAACTTTTCATACTTTTAATTAAGAATTCTATAGAACTATTTTTTTTTTAATAAGTTTAATGGAATTTTTTTTAATTAAAATTTGAAGTTTTTTAATTTCTAACATATATTTAATTGAAGAATTTCAGAATAATCGAAAGTTCGTAAAATTAAATATAGGTAATTATTCTTGAAAATGATTTAATTTAAAAATGAATTTCAGTTAAAATTTTAGATAATAATAAAATTTTGAAAAAGTTTAATTATTGAATTTTTTTTTGAAATTATTTCAAGTTTTTTTTTTCTAACTATTTAATTGAATAATTTCTGAATAATCAAAATTTCGTAAAATTGAGTTGTAAACAAATAGATTTGAAAATATTCTACGAACTGTTGCAAAAATTGTTAATAATAATTGATAATTGTTTATTTATTTCTTTCAAAGAATTTTAATAAAATTTTTTAATTAATATTTTTCGAGAAATTTCTGTAGAATTGTATTAAAAATAATTGAAATCCTGTAAAGAATTTTATTTTTTGTGAAAATAATTGAATTCTTGCAAAGAATTTGTATTACATTTATTTTAAATAATTACGAAATCCTGTAAAGAATTTTATTATTTAAGAAAATAATTATTAATTCTTGCAAACTAATTTATTTCATTTTCTTAAATAATTGAATTCTTTTGAGAAATTTTATTAAAATAGTATAGATTTTGACAATATTTGAATTACAGCGAAGAATTTCATTATTTATGAAATGTAATTAAATTCTTGAAAAAAATTTTTGAAAATAATTACAATTTTCGAAGAATTTATTTTAAATTGTATCAAAAATAATTGAAATCCTATGAAAAATGATTGAATTCTTACAACGAATTTTATTACATTTTTTGAAATATAATTGAATAGGTGTGAAAAATTGAATTACTTGTAAAAATAATTGAATTCTTGCGAAGGATTTTATTAAAATTTTTGTAAAGAATTTAATTTCTTTTTTTAAATTTTCTGAAATTATTATAAAACATGATCGATATCTTCATGTTTTATAATAATATTCTTATATATGTTTTTGAATTTCAAATTTTTAAATCTTAATTTCTATAAAAAAATAATTATTAAATATTGATTTAAAAATGAAGTTATTGTTGTTTTCGAATAATTTTCAGTTTTTTAACC